GTTATATTAGTTTGGGTTTGGAACAAACCAGGTGCTGTTTCAAAAGAACCAATCAACTTCCCAAGCATTTGTGCCTTTTTGATGGCACAAATCCACCCATCTCCCATCCAAGCTGGATTGATGGGCCTCTTTTGTCAAGCACCACCTACTGCACCATTTTGACTTCTACTGTGCATGTGCCTGCCTTCCCTCACCCTCACAATCTGGTACCTGACAAGGGAAGGAAAGAGCGTTAATCTCCTTGGCTGAGCAATGCTATGAACCTCTGGGGATGTGAAGCTGTAGATTCCTGGTGAAGCAAAAAGGCTTATGCTCCCCAGTTTATTATACTCAATGTTTAATTTCCTTTACTCACCTTTCTCATTAAGAATTAGCTAACTACCGAACAGTAAAAGCACCATTTTCAAAGGTGCCCCTTTAGATGACTCCCCTACATTTCCTCTCAGGAGCACCATACCTCACGACTGTTAAGTACCCAGTGGTTGCTCAACTTGTTAAGAGTGACCAAAATGAAACCATGTTCCCAGAAGTTTTAGTGCCCACACTTACTCAATGTGCCCTACAAAAGGTGGCCTTACAGAAGGCAGCACAAAGAAATGCCCTTGATGCCATTAAAATAAAGAGGTGTGGATATGCCCTTTCGAAACATCACAGCTGTAACTGTTGACTTGCCCAGGATAAAAAAGATCTGGCTCAGCCCTGGCTGGTATAGCTTACTGGATTGAGCGCACGCCTGCGAACCAAAGGATCGAAGTTCAATTCCCAGTCAGGGCACATGCCTGGGTTGCAGGCCAGTTCCCAGCAGGTGACACATGAGAGGCAACCATACACTGATATTTCTCTCCCTCTCTCCTTCCCCTTCCCCTCCCCTCTAAAAAGAAATAAATAAAAATCTTAAAAGATCTGGCTCAGCAGGACCAGCTTTCATGAGGATGAGCACACTTAAGTTAGAATGACAATTTGAGTACCATGATCCAGGCCTTGAACACCAGGAATAATGTTCACCATTCCCCATTCCCCAGCTTACTCAGGGGTTGGAGGCTTGTTCTCTGTGGGCAACAGGACCAGTGTCTTACAAACAAAAGCAGGTAACAGGTAAGTTTCCAGAATAGTTAGCATTTCAGAACCTAACAATCCTGTACCTGACCTGTGATAAGCACTCTGTTTAGCACCTAAATCTCTTGGGAGGAGGGTAATCATTGAGTCTCTGAGTCTAGAGCTCAAACTGAAAACACATCTCAGCAGGAATCCATATCTGGGGTTGGGTTGCTTGTTCTGGTAAAAGGTTAACTCCACAGCTTTCCCCTGAGGCTGAAACCCAGCTGTCAGTGAGGTGGTTAATCCTAAAGCTGAAGGAAGGCCTCCATTACTAAGGGTAAGAACCAAGGGTGCCAATAGAAAGAAATGAAGTACAAATTCATGCTATCGCATGGAGGAACCTCAAAAATACTATGTAAAATCAACATAGCCAGTCAAAAAGGATACATATCGTATGACTCCATTTATATGAAACTTTCAAAGAGGCAAGTCTGTATTAAGAGAAAGCACATTAGTGGTTGCTTAAAGTTTCAGTAGGTTAGGGAGATGTGGGGGATGAGAGGATAACAGCAAAGGGGTTGTGGGGTGTATTCTTGGGGTAATAAAAATGTTTACAAATTGACTATGGTGGCATCATATGCAGAAGTCTGAGTAAACTAAAGGCCACTAAACTCTACTTTGAGTAGATAAATTTTATAGTATGTGAACTATATCCCAATAAAGCTGATAAAAGAAATTAAGTTAATGTTTAGTGTCATTTATTGTAAAAAAAAAGTTACCTAATACTGGTCTCTAAGGTTTATAGTTATGTACAGCTTCCAAACTAATACAAGGAAGGAGCAAGACTGCCCTCCACACCCCTCCACGGGCCTTCTACTGGGCATGCTGCCAGAGTTTTATGACTTAGATAAAAAGAGAGGAATTTTGTATAATTTTGAGCTGGACCATGAAATTCAAATTTCCTACGACTAAGCAAAGGAGGAGATAGGACTTGAGGATCAAGAGGCCTCACAGTTAATGACAGCAAGCCAAGTTGCAGCAGTGGCAGGGACCTGTGAGGACTAAGGCCTATACGGGAGACAGTGGCTTCATGCTCAACAGAGAAAACAATTTCGCTGCATCCAAGAATGTGGCACCAAAACATAGAGCTGGTGTCAGTTATGGAAGCTAACTCTGTCCTGGTTGCTTCCTTTAAGCGACCTCTCAGCCAATGCAGGGGGAAGTTGGAACAGTAGTCCCATAACAAGCACTCTATCAGGTTTTTATCCCTAATTACCCACCAGATATGACAAACATCTAGTAGCAAAGGAAAAACCTCACTCAGTTGATGGCCTAGATATTTAGAATTTTATTTTCACCTCAGAGAAGTAACGTGTTTCTAGGGTGAAGCACGAAGGAGCTACTTTATGAATGTATTTTAGTGGACGATAACGTACCACAGCCACCTCTCGGTAACCTTGGAGGCTTGGGCAAAGTGCTGATCCCAAGGATGTGGCCCCAGATCTTCTCATGGGGGTCATTCCTGCCAGACCAATGGGGGAATCAATGGGGCACAACTGAAGGGTTCAGCCAGTGACCTTGCACAGAAAGGAGCTCTGACTATGAGACCTGAGTTACTATGTATGTACCATTTTGAGAAAGGGCTACTTTGATTGTCCTATTAGGTACAGACAAAATGCTGGTTTACTTTTCAATCCAATTCAGACTTGCAAAAATAAAACCATATTTCTTCCTTAAGGACCAGCTTTACTCCCTTTTGGCTTTAAAAACATGGTGATTTGAGAGCTCACTATCAATTTCATTCTAAGATCTCTAAACAAATGTTTGCTACTTTCACTGCCCATGTCTGGTAATTCCTTGGGAAATTCCGCCTATGGGAGATGGCAGGACATGGGAGTCACCCACTGGAGCTGGGGGTGGCACTGGGGCAGGAGGTGTGCATAAAACATGGATCCTTAGAGGAAGAAAACATTCTGAAGGGTCAGAATATATTCGAAACTCATGCCACAGATAACAGATGTTATTTTTACTTTATTTAAGAAAAAGGAGGAGGAACAACAGTAATTTTCATAACACACAGAAGACAAGTTAGCAATGAGAATAAAAGAAGGCTGTGCACTTGCTCCAGTCTGCTTTGCAGTCTGGGATCAGTAATTCTAATGCAGTCTGTCGTTTGTATTACTGTTTAACAGATTTATAGTTGGCAGAATTAGGGATATGAATTACCATAAGTGAACTACAACTAAGAGGAAAACCTAAATAACCCTTTAAAAAATCAATTAAAAATAAATCATAAATATGTGATGCACATTAGTGTAACAAAACCATTTTTTGTAAACATTTTCTCCACCATAACATGGGTATGAAGAAAAAAGTAAAAACACTGCATTGAACAGAGTTACTCTGACTTAAATACAGAAAGACATTAGTTATTAAAGCTCTGACTAAACCTAGAGACATATTTGTGTTTTGTTTTGAAGAGCACCACTATAATGGTTTTTAATGTTCCATGTTTAATGCTATCACCATAATACTGCTTCCTTTAGTAATTTTGCCGTCCTGGCACTTGTGTGAAGTCATTACCTTTTTAAAGGAACAAAATCTTCCCTTCTCCAGAAGAATGAAATTTTAATAGCTCACAATCTTTTATGAAGAAACCTAACTGGGCACCTGCTTCAAGGTGTAGCAACGTAGTCCGGCTGACAAGGTGGCGAGGCCAAGAAGGTGACACCACAATCACGGAGGGCACACGCCAGGAACCCGCCCCACAAGGAGAAAGAGCCAGGCCAGCTGAGAAAATGAGACCCACTAATAAGGTCAATTCTCTTCCACTCAAACACCAAGAGAGTGACAGGTATGTGACTTGGGCAAGTAAAATAGGCACTATTCTGCCTTGAGCTCAGACCCCATCACATCTCAGGGGGAACCTAGTTTTTGACAAGTCCTGAACACTCAGTAATTCCAATGATACACCATTTCCAATATCCGCATGACACCCCTTGTGTTATTGATATTGAGGTTCAAGTCTGTGGAAAATTAAGACTGGGATGTCTCTCCCTTTTATATCAGTTCCATTTTGATATCAGAAGTTTAGTTATTTTTTCAAAGACACCTGCCCAACTTTCAACTCTCTCTAAAGCTACGGAAGGGGCCACAATGGACCTAGCCATCTGGTTCATCCTCCTCTTGGTGTACGCCTGTGTTCATGGTAGCACACATATGGTATCTTACTTGAAAAGCCAAAACGGGTAGAAAATCACCCCCAATGATTTGATTTTGAGTAAAGTTCTGTGATGGTAGAATCTGGTCTATCTCAAAAGTCCCTTCCAAAGGTGAGATTAACTCTTCAATCTTGTTCTCTATGTTAACAACAAATTAGTTGAAAAGAACTAGTTTTTTCTACTTTGGACATTAGCATTACTCCAAAGTCATACAAATGGACAAACCATTTCCATCACCTTGTCCTTCTAAAAGTAAGAAAGGCTTTCTCAGGGTATCTTGCTTTTGTAGGTATATACAACCAACTGTTGTTACTGCATTTGTGAGTGCATTTATCTTTTTCACCAGATTTTCGTAATTCAAAGAATAGCCTTTGGCAAGAATGCTGAGCCAGGAAAGAGAGTAACAGTGGTCAAAATGGGTGCCAAATAAGATGAGAATTTTGGGCACAGCCTTGGCAAATAGGTGCAAATGATTTATATTTTGCACCTATTGCACCTACTGATGGGGAGGTAAGTTCCCCATCTTCATGTTATAAAAGAAAATTAACCATAAAGAAAGATTATGCCTATGAAATACTAACCTTCTGTGTGGTACACAGAGTTCAAAGCAGTCTTCATAAAGTCCTCCCACTCAAAACCCAGCAGGAAAAAGGAAGATGGCAGGACTGTGATGCTGAGCCTTGTTCCTTTCCCAAGAGACTGCTACCCTCGGAGGAATTGAGTGACCATGGAGCCAAGAAACAAATTATCACCCAAGACATTTATTACAATGTCATGAACATATTCATGAAGTAAAGTTGGTTTAAAAAAGAGAGAGAGAACAAGAGAACAAGTCAAAGAACAAGAAAACCCAGGGCTTTGATATTACACCTACAGCAAAGGAAGATGATGTCTTACAAATAAGCAGTATTAACTACATTCTTAAAATAGTTTTAGTGCATTGCATTTTTTAGAAAAGAGAAATACCCTCGCCCCCCCCCGGAAAGGTTCCTGCAAAATGAACAGTTTGTGTGACTATTCTGATATGATCACCTGTCTGCTACCAAACCCTGAACTGAGAACAATGTGGCCTCTTGTAGGCTACAGTGGTCCACCAACCACTAATATGAATATGTGAAAACAAAGCTTTCTACTTTCTGTACTTAGAAAGAAGATTGCATCAGTTAGCATGATGAAGCCCTATGGCCATTTCCCATCTTCAGAGGCAAATTCTCGTGTGCCTACTGAGACCTGTGACAAATAACAGTCAAACTTCAACCTGATAGTTTTGGTATTAAGATTAAATTAAACATTAATGTTTACTCCAAAACAAATATAAACTAAACCACCTCTTAATGCATTAAAAACAATGAGGTAGGCAAAAAAATAAACATGTGATTGAAAAAAAATATTTTTCCTCTGCAAGTGCAGACTGTGGTAAAACTGTTGTTGCACTTCTAGGTTTAAACAAAAATTAAACCTTAACTGAGGCAGTGCTAATACTGTCACACAACAAAGTTCTAGTCATTAGACAAATGTACATATCTTCTTTTTCTTTTTTTTTTTTTAAGAACCATGTGCACATGATTTAGGCAAAACCTGGTATACAGAAAAATGACTGAGTTCTTGATGAAGGCAAAAAGAAAACCCAAATAAAATGGGACACCCTTAACCCACCCCACCCTGCCTCCCCAGCCCCATCCACAAAAAAAGTTCTCCTAGTAACTGTGTCTTTCACATTTTATAAATATTAACTTCTTAAACCTTCCCCTTCTTTGTCCACATATTATCACATTACAAAAAAGAAATGTTAATTAAATACATTGTTAATGTTACTATATTAAATCTGCTCTTTCCTCAGCAACCTGCTCAAGACCACCGCTCTACACCCCCTTGTGCCCACTTTCAACAAACCAATGGCATTTTCACGGTTTCCACCTTCAGACACCCAAACAACAGAGTCACTCAGAGACAAGGAATTCTGGAGCTGAAGGAAACACATTTGCTTTCTGGCCTGATGCTCGATCCAAAACACTGATAGCACCTGATGGTAGAATCTGAACAGCACCAGCTGCATTGCAGCCTCGATTTATTTTTGAATTAAAAAAAAAAATACTGGGGATTAACTGGTAGAAAGAATGGGAAGGAAAGGAGAAAACCCCATGTGCGGTGTCTGCGTGCACAGCTGTCCTGGACTGCCCCGGTGCAGCTCTGAGCTCCAGTTGCAGGAATTCCAAGTTCTCAGGATCTGGAAGACTCTGGGGCCAGCGATCCTCACTGCCATGCTTCTACCAGCTCAGAAGAGAAGTCCTGCCCAATGTCATAAAATAAACCTGACTGCTGCCACCAGACCGAACAGAGGCAAAGAACACCTGCAAGACCAAGAGAAAAGGTGGGGTTTACTGTGAAAACACAACACTGCCTGAAGAAGCAATGCCCCCTGCGGTTCCCAGGCAGGTAACCCCAAGCCACTAACAACCTCTACATCTCCATATACAGAAGCTGAAATCCAAAATGCTCTTTTCAAAAGAAAATCTGGGATGATGTCAATTTTCATTCATAAGGAATGATCATCTGTAGCCAATTTTTATTACAACCAAGAAGGCTAACTGGTCAAATAACTCCTTATACATTGCCATACAGTGAGAATTTCTAAATAAAAAAAATGTTTCTGTAATTGGGTTATTTCTTTTAGCTCCACTGCAAATGCCTTCTAAAAGATAAATGTGCTTAGAAAACTCAATGAGCAATCGGGAAGACTCCTTGGCAAACTGATTTTTCTCTTCTAAAAAAATTAAGCTAAAATGTATTAGTTATTTTATTACTCCATAAAGTAGTTTTGTATCTTTTATTAACATACTTTGAGGAATATATTGCTTCTTGGCCTTTTGGCTAAGATCAAGTGTAATATACTTTGAGGAATATGATATCATGAGCAATGAAATCATTTAAATACCAGAAGTTCAAAAAATATTATACTTATGGCCACATTAAATATACTTGGAAAATATAAGCCAAAAAACTGGTAAAATCTTGGATAAAGTCTCGATTGTATGGATTTTCAAAGTAAAAGATCTGGGAGTTATTAGGTAGGGAAAAGAAATGTTACTCCATTAGTAAATGGCCTTCTGGATTGCAGGAGACAGCGGGTCAGCTGTCACGCGGCTTCTGTGTGGAGTGTGCAGTTGGGTGGGCAGGAGAACCAGCTGCACAGTGGAGGTCTACGGCTCTTCTCTGTTGCGACCAAATTTTACGTTTACTATGAGAAGTCAACCTACAGACTAGTTGCTAAGACATTCACTATATCTTCGCATGAAGCGAGAGGTGAAAATGCTCTTAAGAGGTACGTTTCTAAAGCTGCAATTGGCTGCCTCAGGGAGTAAAGCATGCTTTTATCCAAAGGAACAGGAGAGAAAGTGGGGCTTGGTAGAGACCAGCTCCCCCCTCTGATGTCCCTCCCAAAGCAGGCAGGGACGAGTTAACACCCTTGGCCATCTATGCTCCATTCCAAAGCTGGTTTTGGGAGGGAATCCCTGCAGAGCGAGTAGGGCAAGGATTAAACAAGGATGTGGTCACTTTCGAAGAACAACGGTTTTTACACTGGGGCCTGGATGCCATGGGATCTCAGCTACAAGAGGTACTTGTGCCTCTGAATAAAATGATTTATACTCTTAGGCATTTCTGACATGCAAACTGTGAAATCACTGCACTACTTAAAAGGCAGACTAACAAGTGGTATCTTTATGATATACATCGGGGAGGGGGACCTTCTACCCTACCCAAATCTACATGGGTGGTTTCTTCTAATCACAAAAGAATCTCATCCACCTAAACCTGGTAGCTTTACCCTTCCATACACATAAACCAAACATAGTCTAGACAGGTCACCTAATGGTTTTTTTAAAAGACACTATATGATAATTTCTATAGAGAGAATGTCTCTTATTTCCTCATAGCAATATATATGTACATATATACACACATACATACATACACACACACACACACACACACACACACACACACACACACATACTGGGAAAATATATATTCCCAAACCCCATAAACAGGTCTAAGAATCCACTAGTAAAATGTTCCTTGATGAAATTATTTCACACTCTATAAAAAAAAACTAAAGAGAAGCTTCGTCCAACTCCATGAAAAATAAACTATTGCTAAAAGACAGTAGCAACAAAAAAAAGAATTGATAAGGACACGATTACCTTGTCATTGCGTTCACATAAGAATTTCAGTCTTTGAGCCCTTTTGTGCATAAACACACCATCCAGGTGACCAGTTTCCACCGATCGGATCTCTATGGCCTTTTCTCCCCAGCCCATTGTTTGATTGGATCGAATATATGCTTTTTGAGAGGCAAAAACACATTTTGTCAAAGATAAGGAAACGGCCATGAAAAGATGCTGCTTGTAAAATACACTCTCCCCCGCAAACGTCTAGCATTTAAGAATATTTGTTTTATGGAACTCTGCCTTTGTAAACATGTTGTCTATCCTGGGAAACTGTAATTTGAATCAATGGTTGAATTAATTTCCCTGAGGCATTTCTCACTTGTCTTGAACACTGATCCAATGAGTTTATACTTTACTGCTCATATTTTCATCAAAGCAGTAATGAGGGAAGGCAGGAAGAAGAAATGACAACTAGACAGAGACAGTGACTTAACTGCAACAAAAACAAAATAGTTTGAGGATATAAACTTAAAGCCATGAAAATGTCAGCTATTCACTATCATTCCTGCACTCTTCTTCATGAATGCACCTCAGGATACGAGAGGTTGTGCTTCTGGTTGTGGCTCTGCCATTTGCAAAATGCAAATCACATACCTTTCTCTGTCTTCCTTTACTTGCCACAATCAGGCAACAACATCTGTCCTACTTTCCCTGAATGCCATAAGGATAAAATAAAGGATTATGAATGACAAGAGTTTTAAAAGTGTTAAATAATTACTTGGATTTTATTCTAAGATAGTCCCATGGTCTACAATCTAACTTTCCACCACCTATTACTAACTACTCTGGTGATAAATACATGCAGTTTTAGAGAAAGCTCTACTTTTACTAGTGCTGCCTTCACCTCTGAGAGATACATACCTACAGATGTTGGCATCTCTCCCCACTGCAGAACCACATCCTTGGTGATTCTTCCGTAGGTATTCACATAAACTCCTTCATCTTCATAGCATACCAGAAGCTCCATTCCATCTGTGTTGGGGAGGATGATGATTGCATGGGGTTTGATGCTACACTGGATCTATAGAATAAAAACAAAGCACAGAGCAGCAGGTTCATGGCTATTTCTACCCTGTAAAAAAGTGCTCAGTAAGACTGCCTCAGAAAATGTACTATTCATATTCCAAGTCATAAGCATAGCAGTTAGATACAATTTTGGAAAATCAATGCAATCTATATCACAAAGTCTACCTCTTACAGAAAATATACTCTAAATTCACATTTTCTGAGGTCCTTGGAACATATTAAGATTGAGTTCCATTTAAGAAATTATGTTCCTCAAATCACTCCCAACTCAGGGGTTTTCTGACCTACTAGCAACTGCCCCAATTCATCCCATGTTAGTCAAAGCCAGGGCTAAGAGGTTTTCAATGAGGGCTTCGCAGAGCCAGAAGAGATGATTTCCACCTGTCTTAGAGCATGGAGCTATGAAAATGGCATGACAATTAAATACTCACCCCTATACCAGGGGAAGTAAGGAATCCCTGCTTGAGTTAGTTCATTGAGCAGAGTACAGAAAAAGTCAAAACAAAATGAAGCCAGTCAACCAACCATAGAGTGTGGGTTCTTTCTTACGTGTGTTGGTAGATAAATGTCATAGACTGATCCTGAATCCACATCAACAGCATGGAACCCAGCACAGGATCCATAGATCACTTTCAACCTCTGGCCTTCCTCCACAGTGAGATCCACCAGTAATGGCTTATGTACCAATTCTCCAAATGACTACAAACAAGTACAAACAAGTAACCAAGAGGGAAGCAGTAAGATACAGTACACCTTATTTGTAACGGGTCTAGAGAAGCCAGGCCCAAGTTACAACCAAAGGTAAAAATACATTTTTAATTTATCATGCTTTTGTCTGTTAATGAGACTTTAGAAAACACTTCTTCCAGAAGCTATGTTCCAAATTCTCCCAACCTAGCCCAAGAATTCTATTCTGTCATTTACTATTCTGTTGTATGTCTTGGTGAGAAAAGCATGAAGTGAAATAACCAGGACTTTCTACAGCATACTATTCAAATGCAAAAAATGCACAGAGAGGAACTTAGGAGTGCCATACTGAGACTTTTATCAGCATAGTTATCACAGTAACTATTTGACTCCTACTTAACATTATTAGTCTTCTACTTTCATTCTGACTACAGTTATAGTGACAAAAGGCTATGACATACAAGGCCTGTATGGCCTTAGTTCTTCATTAATATCAGTACCTACAGCTCATAAGACAGACTGAAATAAGGTGTTAAAAGCAACTAGTACAGTACTTGTAAAATATAGGATATACTAAGAGCAGATTTCAGAAGATAATTGTAATTTATTACCAATTATTTTCATTCAATAATGCATAGGTTTATTTTTTAAGCAAATGTGACAACCCCATTTAGCCTGCTGAACTGGGAATTAAGCAATAAGCAATCTAAATATGTCAATTTTCCAAACAATTCAGGCTCATTCTGAATAAAATATATCAAAACTATTTTTAAAAGTAAGTAAACAGAATCATTGTGGATGAAAAAGTCTTAATTTCTTAGCCTCCACTAAACAGTCCCAGGGACTGTGCTCAAGGTTTTGTGCCTAGTATTAGAAATGATGTTATTAACTTACTTATCGTATCTAATGTCACATTAATATCATTTTAATTAAAAATTTCATAGTTTATATTTAATACAAACTCTAAAATTATAAAAATGTATTAAAATACCCATATAAAAATAACTTAATATTTCTCTACAACTTTTCTTCAAACAAAAGTGGTATATTATACATATTTTAATCTCCTTTTCTATTGAAGTTGTAATATTATTCATTCCTTCTGTCATTCAGAATTTCTATAATTTTACTAGTACTCTTGAATGTATACCTTAAATTAATAAATTAAATTAAATTTAAATTAATTAAATTTGATTAGTACTCTTGAATATATATATATATATATATATATATATATATATATCTTAAAGCTATCTATTGTTGCATACTTTTTTGTTATCTAAAGGTTTATATGTGCACACATCCATGACTTTATGTGGAAGTCGAGGTTAGCTTTTTATATGGAAGCAGTGCTATTTTGTCTTTTCCTGTTTATATATTAGCACATTGGTTAGTGTCTACGCAACATTCAGCTCTCTCCATCTCACATTCTGAGGACTTGAAAGCAGATAGCTAAGTTATGACATTAGAAATGGCCTTTCTTATGAAAAATTAAACACTCTTTTAGTTGACAACTTTTAAATGATCAATTTTAACTGTTCAGGGCTTTTAAAATTATTCCCTGGTCACGATGTACATGGCTTATGCTACTTTTTAGGTACACCTGATGTTGTTACCTTAAAAGCCATAAATTTGTGATATGGCTTGGGTGCCCATGCATATACTTCCACAGAATTCTTCAAAGCAATTACAAGAAATTTGATTCTTTCATATTTTACTGAAAAAACAAAACAAAACAAAAGATGCACAAGTCAGTATCAACACGGAACTCTAAATTCTTTTGGTTGTCTTTCATAAATTTTATAAAAACGACTTCTATTGATTCATCCAAACCAACAAGAGAAAAGTGTTGATTGAGATCAAGACTCACAATTTCCTTTTCAAGTTCTTCAATGTGTAATACAGGCTGTTCCCATGGTTTCTGATGTTTTATCAGCCTCAACTCCAATACTCTGGTAACTACCACTGAGTACTTTCACTAATGTTCCCAATCTTATATTGCAAATATTTAATTATCAAGAGCAATGCCAGGCACACTATCTGAAAGTCTCAAGGGATCAGTATTACTTGAAAAGGATAATTATGAGATTCATCAGTCAAGAAGCTCCTGAATCACACAAAGAGGTAAAATCACCCCCATGGCTTCTTCTGCGTCCTGCATGAGGCTTACAGACTGAGGAACATAGAAGTCTAAACCAAAATATTCATTGACTGAGTGTGAATTCTACCTATTTCTGTGTATAAGAACAAGTATCACTTCAAATCACTTCTTGATCTATGGAGATAATAATTGCTAGAATACCACCTAAACTTCTATACCAAAAGAATAGTAGTGAAGAAAATCTTCTGCTCTGGCTGATATGGCTCAGTAGATTAAGCACTGACCTGCAAACCAAAGGGTCAATGGTTCAGTTCCCAGTCAGGGCATATGCCTGGGTTGCAGGCCAGGTCCCTAGTAAGGGGTGCCTAAGAGGCAACCACACACTGATGTTTCTCTCCCTCTCTTTCTCCCTCCCTTCCCCTCTCTCTAAAACTAACTAAAATCCTTTAAAAATTTAAAAAAGAGAAAATCTTCAACTTGTACACATACACACATGTGCATATACACCCACACTCAATGACTCGATGAGCACAAACACGCACGCTCACACACACACGCCACAGCATACACATACTGACACATATGTGTGCGCACACACACAAATTCCTCTTTTACATAGCTGCTTTAGTTCTCTCACGGCTATACAAGTCTGCTTAAAAACAGACATGCTGAGGAGCCCTGAGCACACACAAATTACTGGTCTGATCAGACTCTCCAGTTTCTTTGTAAGTTATCTAATTTCACACTATGACTTGACTCTTCTCTTGTATATGAATGAGATGGCTTGTTAACTTGATACCTCTCCTTGTAAAAGTCCATATATTGTCACTTCCAAATAAATCATTAACATTAATATTAACACAGAAAAGATTATGAAAGGTTATCCAAACTAGTGCTTTTTTTAATTAGAGATTTTATTTATTTACTTTCAGGTAGCAGGGAAGGTAGGGAGAAAGAGAAGGAAAGAAACATCAATGTGTGAGAGAGAAATTTATTGGCTGCTTCTCAAAAGCCCCCAACTGGGGACCTGGCCCACAACTCAGACATATGCCCTGACTGGGAGTCAAACCAGGGACCTTTCAGTTTTCAGCTTGACACTCAAGTCCACTGAGCCACACCAGCCAGGGCAAAACTAGTGCTATTATTTTAATAGAATTTTCTGTGACTTTAGAAAGGCTTTATACTTGTACTGTTAACATGATAGTGAATAGTTACATGTGGCTATCAGGCCCTTGAAATGCACTCGTGCCAATGAGAAAATAAATGTTAAAGTTTATTTCATGTTAATTAATTTAAACATAAATTGAAATAGCATGCTTGCTTGTATAGTACAGCACAGGTCTTGACACTGAATACAAATTTTTAAATGTATAAAAATAACAAATGAATAGTATCATACACTCTTTATATCCAGAAAATGCTTGTGATTGATTCATTCTACAAGAATGAGAGGCCTGAGGGTTGCTGTTTTTTTTTTTTTTAATTAAAAAAATAATTTCCCTGCCTCTAGCTCCCTCTGTAGGATAATCTATTCATAACATTTAGGCTGTTTTTGAGCTTCTTCATTCAATTTAACCTTAGATGATTAGTTCTCTCTCAAAAATAAAAATGTTTCATACAAACAACAAAAAAAAATCCTAATCCCCAAATCTATACCAAAGAGACAGTACTACTTTTTGATATCACTCAGAATCATTCTAACAGTGGGGGTGGCTCCTATAATCATTATTAACCAATGAACTGAGGGTTGTGGACAGATAACATAAATAAGAAGATAATGTCAAGAGCTGTAACATCCTTGGGAGCAGAGAACTATAGCATACACTTTCATAAACATACATAAAAATCATATAAGCAGAAATCAATGTTCAATAGGCCCCTTATGTTAGTAAGTCTTAGGTACATATAGACCATTGGTTGATCATCTCAACATCCCATTTTCCCATTTAAAATGGTACATTAGAATATATAACCTCTCCCATAAAACTTTAATTTGACTAAGCTCCATTATTTCCCCTTTATTACAACATTTGTACTAATGTTTTTGTTGGGAACCGCCCTGCCTGGTTTCAGAAGCTGTAACCACCCCATGGCTAAGGCTGAGTGAGTGATCTTCAGACCATAAACCACTAAGGTGACAAAGCTTATCTCCCTGGCAGGAGCACCACTTCTGCTCCTTTCACTTCACCCTGCCTGGTCTCCAATGCTTGGTTGGTTAGCCAATGATGGGTAAGATTCCCCAAGGGGAAAATGACCTAAGACAGGCACGATCACAGGGAGTCCCCAGGGAAGGACTTGGGAGGCTACGGAGAAAGGGGAAGATGGACCCTTGCTTTGACATAGCCTGCATCTTCATTCTGTCTGCAAGAAGTCTCCTAATCTCTTGGCTGCCTTACTTCCACTGCCTGACTTAAGCCTGAAACAATGACAGAGAGCAGTGCAGCCCTGGGCTAGAAAGAGTAGGTTCCCTAGGGTGATCAGACCTAAGAAAAATATGTAAAATCCTATGAACCTTTGTTTAGAATGCTCTCAATTAAATGATAATGGTCCAAGCAGGAAGTAAGTTTGTTTCCCAAAATTTTGTAGCTCTTTAGCCAACAGACCCTGACTCAGAATAAGCCCTCATAGTTCTTTGTAAGGTATCTATTGTTTGGTCCTTGCTGCCTGACAATGATTAATGAGCTTTACCTGTATTCCTGTGCAAACTGAACCTAATAAAAACCTGTCAAGGCAAGAGTCGGGGCGTTCTCCTCTTGAGAGAGTGGCCAGGCTTCTCTAAGGCACTCTCCCCTTGAGAGAGTAGCCATGCCGTCCCTTTTCCTCCACAGGACTCGGTGGTCCATGTGAATTTGTCTCGTACCTCATCCATAATGCTGAGGACACTGCAGGCCAGTGTCTGCATCATGTTTTGATGTTTTTTATACACACACAACATTTTGTTGTCTTGTTCTTGTGAGATATGATTTCATGAGAACCATAGCATGCATGCCACAAAGAAGAAAACACAGTTTCCGTGAGACACTGGCCAGCTAGATTCACTTACTGGCTAAGAGCACAGCTTTGCACAGTGCTCTTAATCCAAAACAACAGTAATGGGTCCTGGAACAAATTCTCATATATCTATCAGACTGCCAAGGGTCCTTAGTCCTCAGTCTTCTAAATGGAGAATAAGCCTGAAGCACAAAGGAGAACTCCAAATAGAATGGCTTTCCTTTGGCAAGGGTTGCTTAAGAAGTTTATTTTGAACCACACCTTACACAGAAGAATGTGAACTGTCAAAGAAAAATGGTGAAGAGTCTCTCACAAGATGAGCTGAGAAATGAATGAGATAGACAGAGGACAAAGTGAACAGAAGGAATAAACTGTGTTATACTTAAAGGTGCACCTGAGTCTAGATGAATCTTCAGGATTGTAAGGCGCCTCAGGAATACAATAGTAAATAATAGTAATGAACTACATGTATCAGAAACAAGTTTATTATTAAGAGTTTCAAAGAACAGGTGAATTTTAAATGGAATATTAATTAAACCCTGGAAAAACAAAACCCTTATGACCCTCCTGGAACTTACCAACTTTATAGTGTACACATCCTTCCAAATCCCCAACAGTTGTCCATCCCTGCTTCTTCTCAACTTCTGGATCATTGTGAAGGATTTTATTTCTTAACCAGGACAAATAGTAGACACGTAACTTATCCTTTTTGCCTAGCAAAACAAATAAAAATATTTTACTCATATATTCAAAAGTAATTATCATCAACAATAATAGTAACCAAAAGAAACTTCAATAAATACCACCCCCTAAGGGAATCATTTTGTATCAATTTTACTAGAAACCCAACTCAAGCTATTCAGATGGACTTTCGAAACCCAAGAATTATCACAAGGTATATAGCCTGAGGTAAAAGAAGAGATTTTTAAAGAATTTTATTTATTTATCCACTTATTTTTTTACTTATTTACTTACTTATTTATAGACAGAGGGAGAGAAAGAGAAAAAATATCAATGTGCAAGAGATACATGGATCAGTTGGTTGCCTCTCCCATGCTCCCAAACTGGGGACCTGGCCCACAACCCAAGCATGTGCCCTGATTGGAAATCAAACTGGCAACCTTTTGGTTCACAGGCCAGCACTCAATCCACTAAGCCACACCAGCCAAGGAAAAAAGGAGAGATTTTAAAAGAATAAAGAACTCACACTTACATACACAAATAGTATCAATATGCCAAAGTAATAAATACCTTCACAACAATACAATCAATAGAGCCTGTAAGATGTTTTCACATGTGCTATGTAATCTGATTCTCAAAACCTTCCAGGATAGCTGTTATTTACCATTTGACAGCATAGGGGTTAAATAAATCAGCCAAAAGAAACCTGAATTCAACAAAAGGCGAACAATACATTGGAGGTATGTGTAACTTACAGAGCTGACAAAGAACTCACAAACAGAATTTGTAAAGATCTCTTATAAATCAATAAGAAAATGACCCAAAAGAAAAACTGAGCAAGCAACTAGAATAGGCAAAAGAAGTTATCTCATAGATACATAAAGAGGTACTTGCTCTCAATAGTCTCTCATGCATGCATATTAAAACCAGAATGAAATACAATTCCACACACCTCCCAGTGTCTAGAATTTAGAAAAGCAATAATATTGAAAGCAGGAGACATGTGGAATAACTAGAAATTTCAGAAATTAGTGTCATAAACTGTTAGAATCACTCTGAAAAGGTTGGTATTATCCATTAAAGTAGGATATACAATATGCATATCCTGCTATGATGCCATAATTTCCCTAATATACACATGTGTATATGATCCCCCAAATACTTGGACAGGAATGTTCATAGCAGCGTTGTTCGTAACAGCTCAAAACAGAAAGCAACATGAATGTCTATCAACGGCAGAATGAGTGAACAAATCGTGACGTAGTCATACATAAGAATAAAGAGGAACAAAATACAGCTATAAACAACCAAAAAAATGATGCTAAGAAGCTGGACACATGTACAAGCTAAGAAAACACATCCTATTGATCATATGAATAAATGCAGAAAAAGCATCTGACAAAAACCCAACACTCATGATAAAACAAAATTCTATAGGCAAACAGAAATAGAGGGAAACTGCCTCAATTTGATAAAGAACATCTACCAAAAACTTACAGCTAACATCATATGTAATGCTGAGAAACCAGATACTTTCCCCCTAAGATCAGGAAGCAAGGGAAGGATGTCCCCTCTCACCACTCCTACTAACATCACACTGAATGTTCTCTGTGACAAGGAAAGGAAAGAAAATAAAAGGTTTACAGATTGGAAAGAAATAAATAAAACTACCTTTGTTTGCAGAAGGCATGACTATCTAGGTAGAAAATGCTGAGCAATTAGAAAAAAATTCCTGGAACTAACAGTGATTATGGCAAAGTTGCAAGATACTACATTAATACACAAGTCAACTGCTTTCCTATTATACTTGTAAAAGCAATGGGAAATTTGAAATGAAACAGTCTGAAAAGGCTACATGCTGTATGATTCCAACTATAACATTGTGGAAAGGGAAAAATAGAGACAATAAAAAAAGATCAGTTGTTTCTAGGGGCTTTGATGTCTGTTTGATACTGTAATGGTGGATAATTATGCACTTGTCAGAACCCACAAAATGTACAACAGCAAGAGTGAACCCTAGCGTAAACTATGGACTTTAGTTAATAACTAATTCATCAATTTTAACAGATGTACTAAAACCAATGTGAGATGACAAGAGAAACTGGGGGTGGGTGGGGGCTAATATGGGAATTGTTTGTACTTTTTCCTCAATTTTTCTGTAAACCTAAAAAGTAGCCAGACACAAAAGAATACCTACCATTTTACCATTTTTATGACTTTAGTTCAGTGAAAGTAAAACCAATCTAAGGTGTTGAAGTCAGGACCATGCTTCCCTCTGGGGAAAAGGGAAGCTATCAGTGGTTGGCAGGTAGCATGAGGGAGATTCTGGGATACTTCACCAGGTTGGGGGTCACATGGATGAATTCTAAATGTGACAATTCATTGAACAATAATCTGTGGACTTTCGGTACTACATATTTTTAAGTTTTAAGAGTTTCGGAAAATACTGAGTGTGGAAAATATTTAATATGTTAAGTGAAACAAAGACCACATAGTTTTATATGTAGGGTTTTATTCCCATATTGTGAGATACATTTATAGAAAAGAGAAAAATACAATAAAATGTTAACAAGAGTTATCCCCAGGTAACATTTATTCTTCCTAAGTTTTTCTATTTTTGAAGCTTCCTACAGATGACATAATTACTTTTATTACTGTGAAGCCATTAAAAGCTACTAAAGAGAATACAAAAAATTAAACCAAAAAATATCGCTGGTATCAGATGACTACTGATCCCCATGAACCATGTTGTTCACCTGGATCACAAAATAAAGTTTAGGTTGTTTTTAGTTGCAGAGTTATTTTTTTCCTATATCAGCACCTACTCCCACTTTAAATAGCTATTTTCTCATATAAGTATGATGAATTTTTGTATTTTGACAAACACCTTTACTTATACAACCAAAAGCCCATGAAAACTAAAATAACTGCAAGAAATTTCATATACATAAACAAATATAACAAGCTTGAGTTAGCAGATCACTAAATCAAAACCACTGCTGGTTATAAGACCTATTGAAAGTCTGCTAATTTTGTAGACTTCAAACCATATTCTTGGATCCCAGCACTAATACAAATTATTAGAAAATTATGATCTATGAAACATGGATATGTATGGCCAAAGTTAAGTAAGCTACAAAGATATTTGGGGGAAATGTTTACAAAAAGGGGGGAAGATAAACTAAAAGAGAGCAGAAGGTAAGTAAATATTAATACATCTATGCAAAGAAATACTAGGTAGCCATGCACAATGGGTATAATGGAGGACTGTTTAATGACTTGCAAATGGCTTGCAATGTAAGTAACTGTGCAACAGTGTGTTTTAACATCTGCTAAAACCAGCTAGTTAGTACATGGGTTTTATATTTTCTCACTATTATTGTCTAGAATAATGTTTGAAATACTGCATAACCATTTTTACACAGAATTTTTCCCTGTAAGTGGGTACTTTGAGTGTGTGTGTGCTTACAAGATTGAAACTCAAAAATTGAAAAGTTAATACGCATTCTTTTTATTTCTCCTACTTGCTTTTCTATGGTAGTTTCTTTCTAAATAATGAATATTATATAATTTCTTCAAAAAGTGCTTTCTGAAAACAAACTTAAATTAAATGTTAATTGATGTAAGAGGAAAATACATTACTTTTACTACCACAGCAAGGAACAGATTCTTTTGCATGAAAGAATACCAAGGGAGGAAGTGAACCCAAACCTATATATTAGATGAGCCAAATTAAATGCGGCAACCAACAGAGGGCAGCATATGGACCACTGGGGAGACAATTACAAAGTCTGAGCTCCTGCGCCTTTCAAGACAGGTCCTTAAGAGGAGCCCCAGGTTAAGTTGCACCTGTGGGTCCATTTGAGTACATTTTCCTATTATATTACTGTGAAAACACCCTACAGTCGTTTCTTATTTAGACATTTCTTCAGAAAATGAATTAACTGAATCTTAGTACTCGAAAGTACTATGTTTTAAACAGTGCTATAATCATGTTTTATCAAATACTTACCAGATATGGTCACCAACACATTCAAGCCTTCGAGGACATCCATTTGCTGAAATCGTCTTCGGTTGATCAGAGGATATACCTTCCCTTGGCCACTTCTGTCCAGCAGCATCAGGCCACTTTCGGTACCCACTAACAAATTCACTCCTATTTCAATGACATAGAAAGGTGTAAACTTTACACTGTACTTGACAGATAGGCTGGTTGTATGGAAAGGATAACACCACATAGTTGGCAGAGTGGTTTTCTTAACTCACCCACCAAATTGCTTTGGTGAAAGCAAATGCTTAGAACAGCAGCAGGTTAAAGTAATAAAACTGCAATAAATCACCACAGAGAAGTAATAGTGAAATAATTTACTTAAACATAAAAAAGGACATCAAGGTGAAAGTGAGCAAGCCTCATGCCCCTGACTTTCTTCACACTCCACCAGTTCCTGTGCTTCCTCAGTTGAGCTCACCATTTTGGTATAAGAGATTCTGTATCTTGTTCACCACAGCAGACACCTGAACAAACCTTTGTCTCATACTGTGATCTCTGATGCTTCCTTTATCTGTCATTATTTTCATTGGAATGGCTATACATAGCCATTAAATGCTTAACAGTTCATGATTGATAGGGCTTTAATTATTCACTTTAACGTTGTCTTAAAGACCATTCTCCATCAAGAAACAAACAAATGCACTGTCCTCTGTCACTCAGTTTCTCAGGTATATTAACATACTGCAACCTCCCCATGGGACCCACACTGGCTTTTTGATTATGTGCTGAGTGTCTCTCAGCACATATTCTCCCAAGCTGCATTCCTCTCCTTCTTCCTCACTTCCCCACAACTTCTCTTCTTAAATACTGACATTTCCTTTGCTGTCTTGTCTATCTGTTGGAATAGCACCTCAGAACTATGAACTCCTAATTCATACCCCACCCTCCCTGCTTTCTACCTGCTGTAAATTTCTACTGACACCAGCATGTCAACCTTTATCATCTCTATCAACAGCACCATCCTCTCCCACAACTGCTTCCTCAAACTAGCCAAACTGACCTCCAAAACAAGAGAGACCTGCTTCTTTTTCTTTCCTATGTTCACACCCTACTTTAGGCTTTGTCCACCTTATAACAAAGACCTGATAGACCTTAACTGAGGCTGCTACAACACCCTCCCTTCCACCTTCTCATGACTGCACATTAAAAATCCTCTCTTCTTTGGGGTACTACAAAAACTACACGCTCTCTATTAGAAGAGGGTACAAAAGCCTTGATCATTAGTACTGATTCCCTAAACTAAGCACTGAGAAAAGAAATAAAGTGTCTAAGCTTTTACAAAGTAATTGTTCAAACAATATCTTCAAGTAGATGGAAACAATACAGAACAAATTATGTATTTCTTGAACCCCATGATCCATGTTTTATTACATACATGTACACATGTATACAAGGGGAGACCTTCCAAAAAACTGGATTTATCTTTTGGAGGGCAGGCTCCTGAAGCACAGGCATCCCCTCCCCCTAGGAGAGTGTTCTGGGAATCCATCTGTACTAGTGTACCATCTAGAGTTACTGTGAGAGGCTGCATTTGGCTTCGGCGAATTTTTTTGAAGACTCAACACATTTGCTCATTTCATGATGGGTGAATTATGAGCACCTGCCCACATCGTGCTGTGCTCAGCAGTTGTTGACTAAAAATGGCATGATCCCGTCTACCCCACCCTCCCTATTCACTCAATCTTGCCCCTGAATGACTTTTTGTTTCCCCAGAAGAAAAAAGTTTTCAAAGGGAAATGTTTTGCCAATGTGGAAGAGGCAAAACAAAAAATGGAAGCATCATTAAAAGGCAACAAAAATCAATGAGTTCAGAAACTATTTTGAGCAGTGGATAAGTCTCAATAGGTGTACTGCATTGAATGGAGAGTACTTTGAAGGTGACTGAAGTTTAAACATGTGAGAATGAATATGCAATTTTTTTACAAATAAATTCAGTTTTTTTGGGTCCCTCCCCATACACACCCTACTTCCAAAAAAACTTCAAATGAATAATTTTGAAGGCAACATGAATACACCCTTCAAGCACTCTCCCAGCTGCATGCCTGTTCCTAAATGAGCAGGTGAAACCCCTCCCAAGCAATCCTAACGAGGAAAATGGAAGAACCTTTTTGGTCCTGGGGAAAAGAAAGAACCTGAAATTTACATATGTCCATACTATCACTGCTATTCGAACTCAGATAAGAACTTCAGCAACTAACACAGTAATAAGCATACATGGAGGACAGCTACAGATATGCAGAAGGCACTGCAGGCTCAAAACTAACACAACACCATCCCTGGAACTCTCAAAAAATGTAAAACATGTACAGAAATCCTCATGATTTCTAGAGACAAACATCTACAATTTCTGGTAATAGTGTGACCCAATAAAAGCCCCATTAAAAATCTACTAGACACACAATGCAGATTTCACCTAGCCCTGGTAGAAACAGAGCACATTCTAAAATAGCATCTTGCCCAACATAACACCTCTGCCAAATCATAGGTGCCTTCTGTGTAGTACTATTTTAATGAGACAGTTTGTTAGAGCATGATGTACTACCAAATAGCTTCAGGAAATTTGAGGGAAGCCTCTGGAATTTTAGGGAAAGGGACAAACCTAACTATTTACTACCTATCTTGAGTGATCCTTAAAATTAAACAAAACCCCCGAGATGCAATCATTTGCCCAACATAAGGAGAAAGGCTTATATGTGCATATGGCTTCTCCTATCGGTTATAATTAAGATTTTAGAATGTACTGTCTAAACCAGTCCTGCCCAATAGAACTTTCTGCTGTGACATCCAATATGTTAGCCAATGACTACAACATGTGACTATTAAGCACTTGAAATGTAACTGGTAGAAGTGGGGAAAAGAACATTCTATTTTAATTTACTTAAATTTAAATAGCTACACAAGGCTAGTGGCTACCATAACAGCCATTATAGCTATGGATGCTACTGGTATTTTATTAATCAGGTAATATCATGGCTCTGAATTAGAGCTCACAGCATTATACGTTTTCAGGCTTACAACAGCCATTATGTTTTTACAAAAAAAAATTCTTTAATAGAAATAGCATACATGTGAAATCATGACTTAATGCTAAGAAAAATAAACTGTTGTCCAACATAAAAAAAACATTTGTTATCAGGATAAGAAGAATAAATGCAATGCTCCACTCATTTTCATATAATTTTACTTTTGAGGTTGACCATGTTACCATATCAATTTGGACCTTAATGTTTTCCCTTCACATTCCTAGATGAGGTAATTATAAATAGCTTTAAAAATTATTTGCAGTAGATAAAACAAAACATTGACAGAGATTCCACCAGAGAGTCTATTCCAAAGGTTTTATTTCAAGTAGTATTTCAGAATTTTCCTGATCAATCTTCAGTATCAAGTAGCTAAAAAGATCTATATCAAGAATCACGGTACTACCTATCCAAAACATGAGGCTTGTGAAATCTTTCTATTATTTGTGGTTTCTAAAAATAAACAGCATCCAAATATCAATCACAATTTAACAATAAGGAAAAACAAACGAATAAAAAAGATAAAAATATCTTTTCATATATACAAAAATTGCAGATATGTTGGCTCATCCTATTTTCTAATTCTCCATTATGTATTTCTAAGAGCTGTGTAATTCTGTAAAGTACTGAGTGCTAGCAGTCAAAGGGATATAGGCAGTCACTGGAAAATGACAACCTTGGAAATTATGGGCCTTTGAAAACAGTTAGGTTGCATGCTGCAATGTTTTATAAACACAGTTTTTAAACCTTTCGACTATTAGATATAATTAAACTTTTGCAAATTGTTCAAACATAAGCTGTGCTAGGAACTACAATTGTACAGTTCAGAGGAATCTGGTGCAGGTTGATGAAAAAAATGACTAAGAGTTTTATAACATGTGATTTAAAATTTCCTTTAAATTTGATGAATTATGCTATTATGGGAAAAGCACTATAATTAACTGCAGACAATTCATTAAAAATGTAAGAATAGAAACAATCATGTTCAAAATAATCCTGGCTGTGAATAGAAAAATTGCCTTATTAAAAATATAATAAATATGCAGCAAATTTACAAAACAAAAAGTCAATTAGATAAGGTGACTTAAAAAGAATACTTGTTACAAGCATTTTCCAGGAAGGTACAGAAAAAACTGATGGATGTAACAATAGGCAGCAGAATGTAAAAGCACAGATTTTACCATTTCAAAATAACACAGCAGAGTCCTCTGAATTTTCTCCTCTTATTGGCTATAGCTCTCACAGCACAGGCTTTAACTTTCCCAGGTCTAAGTCTTTAGGAGACTTATTTTCAATTTAATAGGTAACTCATAACAGCTATCACAAGCAGTTTCAGGAAAGCCACCACTGCTGTGCCCCAGCCAAGGAGCAACTTAAACACAATGACATAGAAATACATTTCAACTTTACTTCCCAATCTCTTCTTTTAATACAGTGATAAAATGAAAAGTTTCACTTCATTTTAAAAAACATATGCTCAAGATACTCAGAGGTATTGAACAATTAGGAAAAAGAATTTTAATTTTAAAAAGTCAGTTAATAGCACATAAAATAGGGCCCAGCAATTTACAGGACATTCAAGGAATATAAAATAAGTATAAGACTGCTGCCAGTACAAATATTCTGGACAAAAATTACATCAATTTCTGAAGAATTAACATATTTAATAGTATTTCTACACTGAATATAACCACTTTTGATGATATAAGCACCCCCATGACAGGCCTCTGTATGAACAGAAGTGGCACCCAGCCCCCCCCCCAAAGGATCACTGCTGATACTCCCCAAGCAGCAGGCGCAGCAGCATGCCATGATACGCTGTGCCACTGCTTTCTCGCAATCCTAACTATCCCCCAAAATGGTACCGCTTCCTTTACCTAGAAGGTTAGTAAAAAAAAAGTCCTTAAGATTATTAGGGGATCTAAAATACTTAGTAATACCAAGGACAAAAATCCACAACTCAAGGAATAAAAGAGATAATAGGTGTGTCTGCAAGAGGTGGAGACAACTTTCCCAGACCCTTAGGAGTGAGGCCAAGCAGAGCTCACAGGTGGGCAAGAGGGGCCCATGGGTAGATACAGTGCAGAAGTTGGATTAGGAGGAAAGTTTATCAAGTGCATGGCCCTTCTTCAACAACAGGACCAGGAACACCTTGAGGGTGAGGAGGTGGATGCTAGGGCCCTGGGCCTTGATCGATTTGGGTACAGTGAGCAGCTGCATGAGGGAAGAGAGCTGGCTCAGTTCCTGTGGGGAATGCAGAGGCCACTGATGTTCCAGAAAATACATATTGGGGAAAATGTGCTGGGGACTCCAAACAATGAACAAACTGTGTGTCTTCTATCCATTTGTGTTTGCAATGCCAAGGGAGCAAGAAACTTTTCTGAGGAGGAGCTGGGTCCTTGACAAAAATAGCAGATCTGGAGTTTGGGGAGGAGAAAAACTAAAACAAAGTGAAAGACTGGAAGACAAAGTCAGTCCAAGAGCAGGATATCTGTGGAAGTAAAAGAGGGGACAGACCAGTGGGTGACAGAAAAGTAAGTTTTAGAAAGTGAGATGTCAGAGTTCTGTGCATGGCCAGCTCTCCTCTCCTGGTGTCTTAGGTTATGAAGATGCTTCACAAACACAAGTATTCAATAGGCAAAGTCGGTTCCACAGCCCCCTTTTGCAAACTGGGCCAGTGGCAGCCTGATTTTAAAAGCTTCATTTAAATGTCAGGCCCAAGGCATAAACAGCAAGGAAAAATATTAAATGAAAACATTTAAAGAAAAACAATTCAACAAATTTCTTCATTCATCTTATAAATATGGAACAAATCAAATGTCTTTTCTCATCTTTTTACTCTCCATCTTTATAAGAAATGGAGATAAGTCAATCTTTTCAACACCTGATTGCTGGAACACATGCCAGCATTCACACATACCTGCCTGACTGAACAGGAGGACCAGTGGTGGGAGCTCAGAGGCTTGCCATTGTGCCTGTCAACAGCTCTTCAAAAATCTCTAAACCATCCCAAACAGTACTTCTCTGAAAGACCAGCCTACCATTCAGAACACAAATAAAAGGACCAGAGTAGTGGTAAGATACCTACCCCATAAGGCAGCACACAGAATCTCAGAATTAAATCTCTTCTTGTATTTACGGATCTCTGGAGTGTCACTCTGCGGCCTAGTGTTGGTGGGATTCACATTGACCACTGAGCCCTTCCGGGTGGGATCTTGCCTTATGGCTTCTGGTCTCATTCCATCACAGGAAAATCCCACTGAAACACAAGTACACTTGAAATTATTTTCTGTCCACACCAACAATGTGCCTGCCTCCCCTCTCACTACACTGAGGAAATATTCATGTGTCATAACTGGGTCTTTGTCCACAAAAAAAACTCATAGGCAATGAATATGGAAAGATGAAACTATGCAGCTCATTGCAAATAAGGCAATGCAAGCGGGTGGGTGCTTGTGTATCTGAGGGTCTACACCTGGAACAGCCACCATGCCATGCCTAAGCCACAGGAGGGAGCAACATAAAGTAACCAAGTCCTGCTGGTCAGCTGCTTTCTTGTTGCTGCTTTACTTACCCACAGAAGTCACTGTTGTCCCACTAGATGGAGAAATCTGTAGTAATCTGGGGTCTATAAAAGGTGTAAAGGAGGAGGAAGATTTGTGTTTCTGCAGTGTGCTACTAGCGGACTGAGTCTGCAATGTAAATTTCAATTTTATTAATACAATGACATTAAAAAGATAAACATTAAAACAGTTCAACCCATTCCTGTACTATACTGTTTCCCAATACAAAGCCCTTCCCCTCCTGCATAACCCTCCAAAACACTTTTGAGGGTGCTTCTACACATGACCAACACTCTCAACAATACACTGCTTACATCTCTTTTCAGGAATATTGCTCATCCAAGGGAGGAATGCTGCATGCTACCAACAAAACCTACATTCTTGCTCCTAGTTTTTTTTAAACAAATAATTATAATGACAATTTCTAAAGGAGGTCTGAAATGTCTTGACCTCAATTCATTAATTTCTGAATTTATTCTCCTATCCAAAAAAGTCCAATTAATCAATGCTGGAAACTTGGCAGTCCTTAATTTTTATATTACTTATTATAAAGTGAGCCTCTTGCCAGAAAGCTACAGAAGCTTGGCTACCATCATTTTAGATGCATCATCATAAACTCGTATCAAACAGGGCTCAGTAGTGAATGGTGCAAGTGAGAAAAATAAAGCCATATCCCTTTGCTGATTTAGGAGCACCAGAGTTTTGGTTAAAAATGTAACTTAAGACAAAAAAAACACAAAGAAAGTGAAACAAATTGTTAAGTGAAAATGTAATGACAATTAAAAACAAAACAAAACAAACAGAAAAATTAACTTGCCAGTTTAGTGAGTTAAGGGTTATAGTAAATACTGTACATTAGAGCAAAATGGAGCACAGTTGAAATATAAATATAAGGAGGAGTGTGAGTGCAGGTGGGATACATCATCTAGAGAAAACAGAATTTGTCTGCTCAGATGCTTTCATCCTATACCATTTCTCCTACGTGGGCAGCTCACCATGGCCCAGAGCCCATTCCCTCCTAGGCTCCTAGGGTCTCTGCCCCTGGCTGACAGAGCTGCCAGCTTACAGGCTTCCTCCCCTTATCCCATGATCCGTAGCCGATCCAGTCCATGGCCAATCTGATGCTGGGCCTGCATTGGAAGCAGTAGACTTGTCCCTGCTCCTTCAGGGGGAGAGGATTATTCTGATTCTTTCTAACAAGGGGGACCAAAATAGAAGCAGGCAGACCAGCAGTTAAATGTTCACATTGACAAAACTGGCTAAAGCTACATGCCACTTTTAACCTCCTTCAAATATTAGACAAATGCATTTAAATCAAAGCTCCCATGAAATCAAACCACTTGTTTAATTCAGTAACAGCGTGCTCAAGGTGCACTCTGTCACTGCACTGGTAGGAAGGGGGTTGGAGGTGCATGATCCCATTACAAAGAGCAAAGAATCACCCAACTAATACTCAGACTAGCACCACAGTCGAGCCTTTGTACAAGCACAAAGGGTTTCCCATTTATATTACATTAAATACACATTCAGACCTTCTTGTTTAACATCCTGAATGTCTAGGTTTCTTTGACAAACATTTGGCCTCTTCTTCAACTCTGAATGATCGTGTATTTCAAGGAAAAAATCCTTTAACAGGGTTGGTGAAAACAAATGAAGAGTAATCAACCCATAATATCCCCCAAAACAAAAAGCAATGCAGCCCTGTTTGAAGGAAATTTCTGCTCAGGATGACAAGTTTGTCCAAGTCTGCGTAACCAACTTTTGCTATGTTTTATTTATTGGATAAAAAATATAAAAGGCAGATTTCACAAATGACTCTAAGAGTGTCACGTAAATACAGAATGGATCTAAGAACACAGCAATCACTTTATTTAGACTTTTAAACAATAAACTGAGTTCAGAAAGCCATGCAAGTACACTGATCTAGAGAAGGAAACAGTGACCTGGCATTTGGAGGGAGACTGATCTAGGTTAAGGGATTTGTATGCAGATCTGAAACATGTTACTTGGGGGTTGAGGAGAAGGGTAGGTGATAGAAGAAAGTAGGTGGGGAAGGAAGGGGTAGGGGCATTGGAAAGGTCTCCTTTGCAAACTACCTACTAGGCAGTGCTGGTCTAACCCTAGGAAAGCAGCCAGCTGTGGTGCAAGACATACCTCATTAGTAGTTAGCTTGTCCTGGGGTGTCTGTGGGGACATGGTGGGTGTCGGCTGGCTGGAAGATGGGGAGGAGGAGGTGGAGGAAGTGGAGGAGGAATGGCTTTGCTGTAAGAGATCTGGCAAGAGGTGAATGCGACCGGCAAAGCCATTGCTCTCATGATGGCTGGCACGCTTTTGGTCAACTGTACTCTGTAGAAAAAACAGGCACACTTGTCTCGCTCAAGCACTGCTGAAATTGCCTATGACCCTACAGATAACTGACTTTGTTCAGGTGCTGTGTGACTTTGCAAACTGTTACATTATAGAGGAAAGACTGGAGGAAATTAGCCTGAACTGCTCACACTTCTTTGCTGAAAGCCTAAGTTGAGCCAACAGAACTCAAAAGTATCTCATCTCGTGGCAACAGGATTTGAGCAGTAAGTGTTCAGTCTGGTTTATCTGCCATACTAGTTGCTGTTCCCAAAAATCACAAGTAGTGTTTTTTCTTTATAAATATTGCTGTCTGAAGCTCTAGAAAGTGCCCTGTTGCTTCTTAGAATCCTGGTCTTCTCCACGTTCTTCCCACTTTCCATCCAAATGCATTGCCATAGCATGAGAAAAATTCAAGGAAAAGTTCAAAATGCCAGGTAGGTGCCCTGTTCTATTTAAAGGAGAAGCGGATCACTTTCCTTCAGCTAAGTTGAGAAATGAAGAGATAGTTGAAAAACTTAATAATCCAAACTGAGGGCATCAGGCAGTACACATTTAACAATCAACAGTAAGGAAACTAGCATTTTGGAACACAGAGTGACCTCACTCTGATGACTGAGGCTCGTCCACTCTGACAGAGCCAGCCTGGCTCTGCTCCACCGCAGCACTGCAGACGCACAGAGCTGAGAGCTCTTTGCAGAACCACCGAGGCACTCTGCTATAGACTGGGCTCTGCCCTTGGCTCCACGAGCCTCCTGAAGAACGCCCTGTGCCTTTTCTACTACCAGACACAGACAGTGAGACTCAGCATGGTGCTTGAATGAGGGCTGCCACAGAACATGCAGAGGAGCAGCAATGTGAAGTGGAGGACTGCTAGCACCTTCTTGGCATGCAGCACATACCTGCCTCCCTAGCCCAGACACTTTACCCTCTGGGTCTTGTTAACACGAAAACAGATGATGATGTAGAAACAGCATGAGTGAGTGAATGAGCAAGTGGGTTAATGGCTACAGAAGCAGCTCATCCTCTAACAATGATACAGAGACATGGGTACCTGGCGGACAATTAGTGTGCCCTCCTTGGATGGAGTCATGGCTGGTTCACTTTCCACATCGTCATGGACAATCATGGTTTTCACAGATTCTGTTTCACCATTGCTCAAATTCACAGATGACCTATAAGAAAAAATTCAGAGATGAAGGATGATAAATACCACTACTTGAGGATATTGTTTCTACACTTTTCACCTTCAAAAAGTCATCAAAAGAGATCAGGCCACAGATCGAACATTTTTATAAGTAAAACCAATGCTTAAGGCTTTTCCTTCAATAAGTAAGTTCCTGCCAGTACAGTTTATTTTTTGAGAAAAAAATTTTTTGAATGAATGCTCATGGTTAATTAGTTAAACCAAACTTAAACTTCCCTTTTAACATATCCTCAAATTAAAAAGAAAAAGTAAAATATACATTGGGAAACTGGGGAGAAGCACCGAAACACACACACACACACACGCACACACACACAGAAGGGAGAAAACATAAAGGCTACATGTTACTTGTTCACAGAATCTTATGACAGATTTGGAAAAACTGGTTCCCAGTGGAAAGAAGACTCAATGGGTGTGTTCTCATCCATTCTAAAATTTTAGAGACCACCAAGGACTGACGCTGCTCTGGTGTCCTCTGGTCCAGACATGGGTTCCCTGGTCCCTTCCTGCTCTGCATCATCATCCTCCTCATCCGTTGTCCCTGACTCCTCGCTGGATGAAGAGTAGTCTGTCACTTTGTGGGGTGGTCGCACATCTTCAACTGCTCGAAGCTCTTTAGCCAGTGCAGTCAAATCCTAATGCAGAGGACAGAAAAGAGAATAAGGCCGATGGAAGTGGTAGGGTGGGAGTGGTGGTGGGTGGGGAGAACGTAAAAGAGAAAAGGGCAAAGAATGCCCTTTTCTTCATTCTTCATTTTAAATGAGAAATTCTTCATTTTAACCAGTAATAAAATAGCCACAGCATCAATTTTGTAACACAGTTTTGTAGAGTATTTACCAGTACCATGTGATATGAGCACTTAAGCCTTTTGATAGAAAAGACTAAAAATAGACAAAAACATAAAAAACAAAGTCGAAGATGCTATACAAAGTGCAAATCTCACACCAAAAAAACCCCATAACAACCTGCTTATAAGCCGATAGCTTTTTCAATTATGAAATAAAATTCTAGATCAACAAATGTGTGCAGACAGATCCTTGCAGTTTGTTACAGATAACTGCTTACATAACAGTCTCTTTTTAGGGAGATTTATCCAAAAAGCTAGATTCTAGTTAAATGGCACTCATTTAAAATATATAGTTGGTGTTTTTATTTTTAGTTTAAAAAATTTCAAACCAACAGAAAAGCGTAAGAGTAAAGTGAGCAGCAGTATACCACTCATATCTTGGTTCGCCAATTGTTAACAATTTGCCACATTCTTATCAACATTTATGACACATGAAGTAAAGAAGAGGTAGGTCGGCGGGAGGCGGGCCAGGCACCCCTGTCCCTGCCTTAACTCACAATCTTCAAATTACTACCCTATAACAGTGCCAATGAATATCATAAACACCAGAGAAAAAGGAAATCCATAGTAAAAGTTATTATTTAAAAAATGCTTCATTTCTCTATACTATTCTATACTGAGATATTTTAAGACTCAATTATCCAAATATAATTTCCAAATGTGATTATTATTCATATTCTACATTTTTACATAGAAGTCTAAAGTATATCTTTCTACTTGGGAATCTTATTTAAAAATAATGACTTTGCCCTGGCTGCTGTGGCTCAGTTGGTTGGAGCATCATCCTATAAAATGAAAGGACATGGGTTTGATTCCTCATCAGGGCACGTGCCTAGGTTGCAATGTTTAGTTCCTAATCAGGGCACGTATGGGAGGCAACCAACTGATGTTCCTCTCACATTGATAATTCTCTCTCTCTCTTTGTCTCTCTTCCTTGCTCTCTGAAATCAATAAATATATGTCCTCAGGTGAAGATTAAAAAACATAATAACAATAACGATGTAGCCATCTCCCCTCCTGCATGTTTTTAGCAGTTCCAATGAAGTTTTCTTCTTCTTCCCAATGAATAACATGTTTTTTTCCTTTGAGCTTGTCCCTCTGAAGTAGCAGTGATCAAATATTGGACCTTGAGCCTTGAGAATCATTTGATGACTTACAGTTGTGGCTTTTTAAGTTTTTTTAAAAGCTATACTTAATAATAAAAAATGCATGTATCAAAATTTTTGTGTTAAAAAATGAAGAAGTTTAGGGCTTTTTCATTCTAGAGAACAACAAAAAGGTAAGTCAAGGAAAGAAAAGCAATGTAGATGGAATACAAGCTAAGTTTAAAAGGCAGTTAGAGTGGTTCTCTGATGCTGAATTTCCAGAGAGGGGCTTACCACTTCACCCTGTGGTGCAGCCACAGTCCATCGAGTCAATGATGAGGAACACACACAGCCCATGGAAGCACAGGAGAGAGAAGGGAATACAAGGAGTATAGAAGTCAATTCAAGCAGGAAATCATAATTCTAACAGGCTTAAAACTCCACCATGTGCACAGAGACAGGTCAGTTAATGCGACAAGGATTAAAAGAGATGTATAAGAAAGTCAAAACTGCCATTCTAGGAACCAAAAGGCAGAACTTAAATAACAGGTGATTTTAAAAAGGCGATGGCAAAGATTTTTTCTAAAAGCTAGTATTATAAATCCCCAACTCTCCAAGAATGCATACACATTGATGCAAAGAGATAAAAAGGCTTTTCTTTCTTTTGTATTTTTTAAATAACTAAGTTGGAAAGGGGGCAGAAATGCGTGTGTGATTTATGGCATTCATTATAATCCTTCAAATCTGTAAGAGCCCCACAGAAAGGATTGTGCCTCTCAACTACATATTTTTAATAGAAAGATCTCACTGAAGCTTGAAATAAGTAAAACTGATTTTGTGCAATTCTTACAGTAGGCTTGAGAGGTCTAAATACTTCTTTTCTGTCTTCAGGTTTTTTCACTGCATTTTCAAGGCGCTGAGATGGAGAGCCTTCAGATTTGGATGATGCTGTGAAGTTCAAAAGAGACAAGCAAGGTGGATATATACAAACATCCAGATGTGTGCTACAAGGCAGACCCAGCCCATCTACCCTTTTCTTCTCACTACATTGTTCCCCTGCCTACTTCTGCTAACCCCCACTCATGGCAGGGTCTCCTGGACTCCAGGGCTTCTGACTCCTTACTTAAATTCCATTAACACACTGGAGTTCATAAGAGCTGGTTATGTCATTAATACTGTAGAGGGAAGTTTTGCTGATCTATTATTATGAGCAGGTTTAAACAACCAGTGTTGATGATAATATCGATGGAGACTACATTGAAAGACGTAATTTCAAATCTCAGCTCAGAAAGTTAGCTAATCATCTTGGATGAGTTTACTTAATCTCATGAAGTTGCAGTTATTGTAATCTGTAAAATGTAATCTGTAATGGAGATATATATATCTCATGGGGTTATTATAAGAATTAAATTAGATAACACATGTAAAGTGCTCATAGTGCTAATCATGTGTAACTGTGATGACTACTATTGTCACCAGCAACTTACACTCTAACATTGTCTTGTGATATTGAGTTATGTAAAAACCAAAGGTCCGTTACATAATTCAAAAGGATTTACAGTATACTAATCATATCTCAATATCATTCACAGGGAAAGAGAAACAGAAAGTCACCCTACATCTCACTCGGAAGCGTTCTCCAGAGCCACTCTGAGACCCAGGCTGGGAGCCTGAGTTGCTGGACCCAGAGGAGCTACCACTGCCAGGCCTAGGCACCAGCTTTTCCACTCTCTCCCACAGCAACCTGGACTCGACACCACTGCTGGAAAAAAAGAGGAGAAAGTCGGCAGTGCATCATCCCTAGATGTAGCACCAAATTAAAAACACATACAGTATTCAACTCACCAAAAGTTATCACATTATTTGCGGGTTTTATCTCAGATATCCTAACAAACCAAAAATGCTAAATGATATTTTACCATTAGTAGTCCCAACATCTTCATGAGACATGAGAGGGAATACTATTGTTTGGTCTATAAGTGTTACTATATCTGACATAGGTATAAATTTAGTTTCTTATATTATTAGAAAATCTGCTTAACAATTTACAGTATAATAAAATTATACTGTTTTTAGGCTTGGTTTTCTTTCTTGCCCAACTGACACTTATGCAGTCTCTTTACATGAGCTGTGTTAGAAATGTGACAGACAGCAGGGGCTATGATGTGTCCCTGTCATGGCCAGCCCCACAGGACAAGTGCACCAGGACAGAACTGATGCACAGACTCAGTCAAAGGAAAATCCCACAGTCTCCCCAGATCATTTTAAAGACTAGGAAGTCTCTCTGCAGCTTCTGGACTATCACCCATCTCACTGCTTCAAGTTATACTGAGGTTCTACACACAGAAGATAAACTGCAGAGATTCAATAACAATCAGGTACAAAACATTCAGCAAAGTGACCTTTTTTCTCCTTCTTCTAGCATGGTACTGATTAGTGGAATTTACTGAGATGATGAAAATGCTCTACAGCTCAGGTGTATAATAAAGGTAGCCACAAGCTACATGTGGCTACTGACCACTTGATATATGGCTAATGTTAACAAGAAAATAAAGTTTTGATCCTGTTTAATTTAACTAAATTAAATGCAAATGTAGCTGTATAATACAGTAGCCACTAGTCTCACATGGCTAACAGCCACTGTACTGAACAGCTCTAGCACTTAACACTAGTACTTGGTTAATTCACTAGTTTACTGAAAACTGTTAAGTCAACCACTGACTTTTAGTAGCCTGTGTTTCATTTCTGTACTCCCAAGGCCTTAGGATTTCTTTCAGATAATGAGCTCCCACAAGTTACTATTCTCTTAGAAACCCTGCCCCCTTTGCTGCTGTTCCTTCTGCTCTAACAGAGACAGATTTCATTTTAAAGCTCCCTACACAACTAGACTCAGACTCTCTTTTCACAAGAAATCAATCTGATGTTATTCAAGTTAATATATTTTATGGGAGTTTTTCTTTTATTAACTGATAATCTCCTCTTTGCCCCAGAACTTCCCTGTTTATGGGCATTTTTATGGGGAAAAATGACAAAAGACTGTAGGCTACTGTGCAGTAAACCTGTTCTTAAACTTCTCCATTTTTTTTACCTGGTGGAGTTTCTTTGAGCTGCTTGGCTACTCTGCTGCCCACTGCCCTGCAGAGGGGAATCCCGCCGGGACAGAACAGGGGAACGAGATGTTGTTCTCACAGGGACCTTTGGGTAAAAAATACAGCAAGTAAGTTCTTGAAAATATGAGTAGATAAAAGACTTCTGTACCAAAATGTATTTTTATAGCAGTCCTAATTATGTTAGCCTTACTATATCACTGTCCTACCCTACCCCCCATTCCTGATCATTCTCTGCCCTCCACTTATACAACAGGAAGAAAACTTAGTCAAAGGCATCAAAGAAGCCAGGACAAATAGCCCTTCTACGCTTCTGTAACATTTAAATGATGTGTGGACTGAAGTCTGGCAGCAGGGGACACACAAAGCATTTTGCTGAGATAATATGAGAATCAGGAAAATAAGCTCAAAGAAATCAAACAATGTGTACAAATGGATCAGTAGGAATTGAAGACTGGTAGGAAGCAAGAAAATATTCAGAGGAAGCAAATACCAAGTAGAGGAAAAATAAACTAAAATGCGCTCTTGTGTTCAATTTCACCATTAAGTAATTAGTAAAAAAAAATTAAAAATTTAAAAAATTTAAAAAGCAAAACCAAAACCAAAAATTTCTCAATTTAAAAAGAAAATAATATTTTAAAAAATTTTTGTTAATATTTTTTCCTATGACATCTTTTCTGAACACTAAGATAATGGTTTATGCTGTAGAACAACTTTGTAGCTTCTATATAAAACATATAATACAACTGCTAAAATATATTGATTCTACTTATTCATAAAGCATATTCTTTATAGACTTACTCTTAAATTATTTTGTTACCTAGTGTTTAACCATAGACTTAACAACAATAGAAAGCTAACTGTCACTGGGTTAATATAACTCTTAAGTGTAAAACATTCTCCCCACTGTAAGAAGTTCCTTTGCAATTTCATTGCCCTGAATTTAGGTGAAGTCATTATACCCTTTATGAAAATAAATAATGTTTAAAAAGTAACAGAAAGGAAAAAGAAGTACATTATCTGTCTTTCTGCTTCTTACCCTTGGAGGCACCTCGTCACTGTCTGATCTAGACCAAGCCTTTTGAGTGGGGTCAGGTACCTCCGACTTAGAGTCAGAATTCTGACTTAGCACCTCACTGCGAGAAGGTGGACATGGGTCCTGAGAGCGAAGATGGTGGTGTGCAAATTTGGGAGGAGAAGGGTCACTGAAGGAATGGGATCTCGAGACAGGGGAAACACTGTTCTTGAGAGATGCCAGGTGGGACCACTGTACCTTACAAGAAAACAAAACACAAAACATTCAATGCGTTCTGCATGAAACGCTTTTTCTGGTCAATACCAAATCCAAAGCAAGGAACTGGGAAATGCAAACTGGGTGCTATAGTATCAGGTAAGCCAGGCAGCAAAACAGTTACACTTTAAAGTGAAGAAGTGACCTGATGAACACAGTATGTAGAAAAAGAACAAATGTACACTTAAAAGGAAAACTTTTTTAATATCCAGACAAACATTACAGATAGCAGTAAACATGAAGATTTAAAAAAAGGCTTAGAGAACCCATGCTACATGCATATCCATATCAAAGCAGAGACTGGACAGGGAGAGAGGGAGATCACGAGGTGAACACTGCCATAAACGCAGATCTATCTAAGATTTCACACCATGTGACGGTAAAACAACACATTTCATGAACAAAGACAGAACCCTCATGTTTTGATAGACTATATAAATACAGGGTCTGGCAGAAGTAACACCTGTTTGATGTGGTTGGTAGAGTAATAATATGGTTATAGTAATTTATAGTTTTAATTTGAACATTTCACCTAAAATGTCATATGGTATGCTTGAATGTGATATTGTTATGTTATAGAATTACATGCTTCCGATTTTGTAATAAAAGATTTTATAACGAAAAGGGGTGTTGCTTGTGCCAGACTGTGTAGAATAACTTAAAAACAGCCAACTTTTCAAATACACCAACAATTTTTTCTTTCTTTTCTCAAGCCTTAAAACATTCAAACTCTAGATCTGCGTACACCCTCATACTAGTTATGAAAAACAACTTTAATTTCTTGAGAAACATTCATTAGTATGATTCCCTAAACTGTCCTCCTGATTTTTTAAACTGAATTCTTCTGGTTGTTTTCAAATTGAGAAAACAATCTCTGAAATAATCTGCACTTTCTTTAAATTATATTTTATTATTTTAAAATGTTTCATAGTACAATTTACATTATTCCAGCTTTGCATCTATTACATCAATGCTTAATGAAAACTGGAAATGCCAAATCATGATTGATTCAACCTTCCCAAAAGCAAGATTCAAATTCAGTTCCAGATTTATGATTTCTAGGTGATAGTCACATAACTCATTATTGGTATAATCCCAGATGCCTGAAATGCTTTAAATTTTTGGGGGTGGGGATGGGCAGCATAAAACTGAAAGTATTATCTGTAACTAAAATTTTTAAAAACATGAGTTTTAGAATAGAGTCCTACCTAAAAAAAGTCTCCCCAAAGAAAATGTTTTCATAGGTGCATGTTTCAGTCAAAAGCAACTTTACATAAGAGGAAAAGGGAGACCATTTCCAGGCACTATGTTAATTAACCATTAATATAAAAAGTAGTCTATGTAATTCAGGAAATGCTAGTGGCCAAATAGATAAAAAATTATTTATGGTAGGTTTTAACTTTCAGAATAAAAAATTTAATAGTGGACTCTTCCCAGGAATGTCATCAAGCCTATTCAACTAGTCCCTCCTCCCTTCCCTTTCTTCCCTTTGCCCTTTTCTACTCTTCTTTGTTTGTTCCCTTTTTCTTTCTATCCCTTGCTCTCTGGAGTTACCATTGTAGGACAGCTCTTCTGTAAATCAAGGAGATGCTGATCCCTTGTAAATACTTCCTACTACCCAATATAACCCTTCTCCCACTCAACACACTCCCACAGTATCTCATGGTAAAGTCCTGGTTCGTTATTGTTTGAACTCCTCCATACTGGGTTTATTTACTATAAAGCACATTCAAATCCTCATTTGAATTTGTTTTTCCAAATACCAAAGCTAATTCTATCACAAGGAAGTGAACTTTTGCCTCCCAACACATAAACATCATAACAAGTAATCTTACGCCTAAGAATTTGTTTCCAATATTCTGAGTTACATAGCTACATGGAGTAAAATGTCTAAAACTCAGTTCTTTTCAGTCAGAAAGTGGGAATCAGTGGAATCTAAGATCTCTGCCATGGGTACCCTTAGCTGCCTATTTTCCTCTCCAGACAAGAGAGGGTCCTCTTCACCTCAGCATTCCACCCGGAGGTGCTTCCTCGCCTTGACAAGGGCAGCAGGCTATGGTGGATGGATGAGAGCCTGTGGCCCTGAACCACTTCAAAAAAAGCCACATGTACCCCATTCTGTTGGATTGTAACATTTTTCAGACCTTTGAAACTTTTGAGAATCTGATAAAAGACTCTTTTCCCAGAAAAAAAAAATGTGCACATTTGGACAAACCAAAAACGTGTACGTGGAATTTCAGGGTCCTCATTGGCTCTCTGAAGCCCATGCATGGAACATGCCAGACACCAAAGGTCACAGGTTAAGAAAAGGTCTGGTTCTCCTTCCATGTACTTGTAACACAAGCTTTCTAAAAACTAAACTAAAAAAAATCTTTGTATTAGAATAAGAAGACACGTACTCCTGAACATCTGATTTACGGAAGGAAAAACATGAGACCGAGAGAAGATATCAATGAATCTAAATATTCTTAATAAATACAACAAAAATCTTTCAAAAAATTCCTTATTTTCCCTATCAACTGAGGGTGTGTCTTCTTTAAGTTGATCTAAACTTACTCCTGCTTATACCTTCTCTTTTTAAATGTGGTAACACACCAAAATGTGAATACTATGAGCAGGCCAGTAACTCAGTGAGTTATCACGTGCATCTCCTTGACCCACAGCCACTGGCTGTTGCTACCTGTGGCTCAGCTGGTCTCTGCAGGGCAGGATGCACAGACTCGGAGTTGCCATTGGAAAAAGACTCTGATCTGGAAGGCACTGGTGGCTCCAATACTCTGCCTGTCTGCTTAGACTGGGCTTCAGGGGAGCTGTGGTTAGTTTTCCTATATCTATCTTCCACCTGTGTCAGAGAATTAGAAGACATAACTCAGTGTCAGTGGGGAAGAGCAGATAGCAAAGAAAGCCTGGAAGTGGATGAACTGTAAAGAAAAATTTTCTGTTTACTTCAACTACAGGAAAGAAAGAAGTGGTTTAAAAGTGGAGGAGGCAAATAAAGCAGGGCCAGGATTTGATTCAGGATAAAGAAATACTTATGAGAATAAAAGCTAAAAGAGGCAGCCTTTAAATTCTTATCCTGGCAAGAATTCTAGGGTTGTACATGCGCATAATAAACTAAAAAAAATTAAATGTGTCACAACCAAGTAAACCAACAGATTTAAAGAATGTTATCAGGAATCTAAAACACATTTCATTCCAGCAAAAAAGGGCATTCCAGAACACTTATGCCCAGAATCTCTCTGTGAGGGCCAGAAACGGTAGAAGGGTGCCACCTACAGGCTAGAGTTCAACGTACCCTAGAAGCTGACCAAGTTAGCTCCCTGGCTTCCCAGGATCCCGGAACAGTGACTGCTTTGCCACATCCTTACTGGGAGGTTCTCCCAAACATGCCAATTTGGTAACAAATCAGGATCACTGAAAAGTCAGTAAATTGGGCTATAGACACATTTCACCCTCATTGCAAGCTTGGAAAATTAGTTAACCAGGCCACCATTCCCCTCATTTACATTTTAAAGAATAATTCTGCCATACAATATTCCCCCCTTTTATTTAGTTTAGTGCTCAATTTACCTGAGAACTGTTAATAAAGGCATTCTGGTCCTTCATGAATAAAACACTTCACTAGATAAGAGAGTCCCATCACTTCTCAGAACTTCCCTTAATTTCTCAGCTAGTGGGTGGATCACCAGCTGAAGTCTATGCCCCCTTCTAACATTATTATTACCCTGATCTTAAGAGGCACGGAATCAACACAGGATCAGTGTCTACGCAACAGAGGAAAGCAGATACCTCTTGGGCTCTGTCAGCAGGCTCATAGTGGGGCTTGAGCTCTGGAGCATGGTAGCTTGGCTTGCTCCTTTCTTGCTGTGGTGGCAGCTGCTGCTGTGGGTGTGGCCTCCGGTGGTCATGCTGTAGAGACAGGAGATATGCTTGTTCTTGTTGCAACTGTCTCTGGAGCCTCTCTGCCTGTCGGTGCTCCTCCATCTCCCGCCATCGGCACTCCTTGGAGAGGGAGAGAACACTAAATCTATGGGAAATGGAAAGCTTGCCTCTTCTCTGATTCATTCTCAACTTTATTTTTAAAAGATCATGCTATTTTCCCCATGTTTTGTTAACAAAGCAAAATGGGTGGGATTTTAAGTAGCATATTACCTGTGGAAAAATCTGACAGCTTGTTGCTAACAATAATATCACTGGACAGAGTAAGAGAAAATTCAATTAAAAGTCAGTAGCAGTAGTTTCAAGAGGTATTTAAACTAGGTAAAAATCCTATGGCAAGTGCTTTGAACCTTCAGCCCTTAGCATTCTTGTTTGTTCACTGAATGCAGACTTCTTTTCAAGACCTGTCTATCTACCAAACAAGAACAGTTATTAGTGGGAAATAAGTAAATAAATAAAAACCACCTGGAAATGTGCCCTAAGCATTAGGACCACAGAGGACTACTCCACTTGAGCCTGTCAGCCCACAGCACTAACCACAATGGTCTGGTGATGAACACAGCTCTGCCCAGCTCAGGGGAGGGATGGACACATGAGCCCTGGCACTATAGAACAAGACAGATACGGGCGTTACCAGTAACATGGCCTGCTCCTGGAGCAGCTGCTGCTGAAGGAGTTCCAAGTGCCGCTGCTCCTCTTCTAGCTGTCGCCTGATATACTCCTGTCACACAGAAATTACCCAGCAATCAATTTATCCAAAAGGAAAGCATCAGAACCATCTGAAGGGAGCACCAAGAACCATCTGCCCCACTGTCTTTACTAAGTGGTAATTCACTTAGTAATGCATCTCTAACAAAATCTATTGCTAAGGATTTCCCCAAGAACTTCAACTGACCACTAATATCTGAAGAGTCTAATAAATAATGCCATGCCCTCCAATGGTATACACAAAGGTATCTGGAAAGTCTTCTTTTAGAACACGGCTGTTATACACAAATGCTAGGTTTTAAAGGACTGTGATGTTTCCCTTAAGATGGCAGACTGCAGAAATCAGAAGTTTAATTTTAGGAAAGCAAAGGGTTCTCAATAATAAATGTCTGCTATTACTCATTATTTATAACAATCACAGGTCGTCAATTTTTAAAATCCCATACCAAATTTGTTTTATATTAAAATACAATAAACACGATTTGTGTTTTCTCTGATGGTACAGAAGGTACCTAGAATGACTACATTCTAGAAACCACGGTCTGGGAACACGAGACTCAAGTAACTTTTTACAAATGAAAAGGCCCAGGTCCTTCACGATGAGGGGGTGTGTGGGTGTGGATGCATGTGTGTGTCTGGGAGAGAGAAAGGAAAGGGTGGAGGTGAATGGTTTTCAATGAGAAAAAAAAGATAAACAATGAAAACAGGTAAACACATCCAAAATATGCATATAAAGACGAAAAATCCAAACTTAAAGCTACATATGTGTTTTAATGAACTTGGAAATCAAGAGACCTTAGCCTATGACCTCTGGCCACTCTCAACCTCCCATTTCCTCAGTTTTCTCATCTGAGAAACTAGTACCAAGAATATTCTCTCCCAACTCTCACTATTTTTTTGTGAGACTCAAATATGAGATAGACATAAAGTAACTTCAAAAAGAACAAATATTTTACAGACAAAAGAAGCTTCCTTCCTCCTCAACAGGGAAGAAAGCTAAGTACTGTAGAAGAAAAGTAGGCTAAGGGGTCAAGGAGGGCAAATTTTATTCAGAAAGTCAGATTATTTCTTTATAGGGCTATAGCTAACAATGCACTGATGCCAAGCTACACCCTTTAAGGTAAAAATAACCACACATTTGGGCTGAACACAAATTTTAGTGAAACAATTATTCTAATTGAGAGAATGATGGATAACACAAATTGAGAATATAAATTTCCTTAGGTTTTACCTTACAAAGCAAATTCAGCTCCCCCCTGGGGGAAAAAAAGCCAGTCCAGGGGAAGCATATCCATAAGACCAGTGGCAAATGCACCAATTCCAATCTGGGCTACATTTAAGCCCAACCCTACATGATACATGCTATGCCAAGGACTGCCCAAGCATGGAATATGACCTTCCCCAGCACTGGCTGAGAAAGGAATCTGACTCCCAACTCATTTCTGCTTTGAACTCACCAGAATTAAACCATAAATTAAAGGATAAAATAGTACACTCATGTGTTTTCTACCTTTAAAAATACAGGGAAAACTGAAAAATCTACATCTATCTAAATCACAAATGTCCTAACCTACAGTCAATGAATACACAGAATACAATTACACATGTACACAAACAAGCATCTTATGCAGAAATGTTTCCCACAACACTGTTAACATGGGAATAATTACTTTGCAACAAAATAAGAGTAGAATAAAACTGATTTTTGATGCTATTTTTAAAGAGGAGGTGAAGAATACTTGCTATACACAAAAGCTAATGACTGCCATTAGAACAGCAAAGACTAAGAATTACTTACATACCATCCTGTCACAATCAAATTGTGAGAATCAAATTGTGATTTCATGTTTAAAACATATAGTATATGTTTTGTCTTCTTTGCAGTCCCCAAGTGTAAATCAGAATGTGAAACAAAACCACCTAAAACACACCAGTTACCTGGTCCATGATGTCACTAAGGTAACAAATAAAGGGTATCACTTAATCCTAGGAGATATCAGTAATCCAGCAGGTATACATCCATCTCAGAAAACCTGAGGTATATCATTGGTGTCAAGAACCAAACTTGGAAGTCAATACCATTGTACTGAAGTACTTTAAGTATGAATCTCAAGTGTTATTTAAATTTGTCCCCATTCACATCTTTTTTTCTTTATTCAAACCTCATAACAAAGAATGATTCATTCAAAGACATGAAAGGCAAGGATGGGATGCACAATAACAACACAGAAAACAGACAGCTCAGTCCATTTCTGTTTGCACAGGTGGTTCAGGAAACAAAGAGATTTCTAAAGACAACTATATCTGGCATTAATAAAATGCCATAAAATTACCAAAATCTGATCTTTCTTCGGTTAAACAAAAAAAATACTGTTGGTTACATTTGTTACATATATATGTATATACTGAATTATATGCAAATATATATTAAATATCCAGTGGCTACTTCAAATACTGCTCATAAAAATTTTCTTCCAGCTTTGAGCAGTGGCAGTATCGTAGCCAATGAGGTTTACCTGAGGTGCGATTATTGCTAATTGAAAAATTTTCTTCCAGTTGGTTTTTAAATTCACTTTAAAAAGGTTAATTATCTCCAGATATATTAGGTTTGAAGCATTTTAGCTGAACAAGAGAAGGAATATTAAGAAATCTTTGAACCATCATACTATTTGTAGACTACTTTTCTGGTTTCAAAGTTTCTAAAGTGTAATAACTTATATACATATATTTAAAAACAAAAGACTCAATTTACTGGTGCACTTCCAATTGTATCCTGAATATGTGTATGCACATGTGTGTATACTGTTGCCCCAAATACCCCAACTCTACAAAGCAAGAACCTGAACAAACTCACTGTTGGAACATTCTTTGTGAACTAACCTGCTCTCTTTCAACTCTCCTCTTCTCTTCTTCTGCCCGTCTCCTATCATCCTCCTCTTTACGCCTTCTCTCCAGTTCCTCCAGACGTTTTTTCTCTTCTTGTTCTCTTCTTCGCTGCTCACGTTCCTGCTGCCTTCTAGCTTCACGCTCTCTCCTTTGTTGCTACGTAAGGAAAGATGTAATCAGCAGGGACTTTCTGGCTATGGCTTTCAGGACAGTTTGCTGACCAGTTACAGCAAATTAGGGGGCATTAATGGACCCTGTCTCTACTGGCCGATTACCCCACATTGCCACTTGACCTGTATGTACCAGCTTCCTCATAAATACTGGTTAAAGGTGCTAAGTTTCTGTGAATCCTTATAGGGTTTGGTTTCATTTTTATATCAATTATTTCCCATTTTTCACTGTACCCCAGAAATTAGGTGACAGGGAATTCTTAATCCTTGAGTATCACTAACAAGTTACCCAAGGCCCTAAGTCAGGAGAAAAACCCAAAAGAAAATGAAAGAAAGGAAAATAGAAATAGGGCAGGTAAAGGAGAGAAATATTTTAGAAGGAGGGCAGGGAAAGGCACACATCAGGAAAAAAGAAACTCATGTCAACCAGAATAAGAAATGTCATCATTACCACTATGAATATATTATTAAATAACTGCTTTTGAGCACACGCTTACTACGCATCTCACACTGTGGTAAGTATTCAATACCTGATATTCTTTATTCCATGTACTTTACCTAATATAATTCTCATAACAAACCTAGGAAATAGGTATTTCATTCTACAGATGAGAAAATAGGTTCAGAAAAGCTAAGGGACTTGCCCAATGTCAGAGGCTAGTAAGGTCCCAGCTGGAAGGGTCACTCTGTCTCTAAAGCCTATCCTGTTAACCAGACATTCCATCACCAGGTGCAAAAGGCATGACTGACTCACCACACTGGCTCTCACAACCTTTCCTACTCTAGGCTGTTCAAACTACCCCACAGTATAAAGCAACGTGACATACTGGGCACTTATATGACTACCTGTCTCATCCGGGCCCAGACAACTGTGAATAAAATCCTTCCTCAGTGCAAAGTATAAAATTAATAAGATCTTCCTGTGAATATGAAAAAATGCTAGCCTCCAGACAGGCACCGTCCATCAGAACTCTCTGGGATGATGAAAATATTCTATTTCAACACTATTCAACATAGTGGCCACTAACCACATGTTGTTACTAAGCACCTGAAATGTGACTAGTATGATTGAAAAAGTGGGTTTCTAATTTTATTTCATTAAAGTTAATTTAAATAATCATGTAGTCGGTGGCTACTATATCAGCCATTACATTTCTCAAGACACAAGAAACCAATTATTATTAATATGAACTTTAATGTGACACTGAGATTAAATTTTTAAAAAAACAAGAAACTTTGGGGTAAAGCATTGAAATATTAGACACAAATATTTTAAATGGGTATACAAAATAAAGTGTTTATTGTTGTCTAAGTTTTCCTTCTGGGTCTATACCTGATCCTGGACTATTATTCAATCTGAAGGTATACACCCTCAAAAAGGATTTCCTGACAAATGTATAGCATCTTACTTGTGTGATAACTGAATACAAAAGATTACTTGGCGTCTGTTCTCTCTCAGTTGAGTAATACATCAGCATTATTCTCAGTGAAGCTTGGAGTGACCTTTTAGCCCTACCTCTTCCCTCATTTCATACATTCCATGTTTTGTGGTTTCCCCTAGCCCCTACTGTCTGCTCTTAGGATTCAATGCACACAACTCACCTGTCTCCCCTGGGTGGGGGTAACATCATGAGAAGAACCATGTTTCTGTCCTGGTGTTTCTAACACCAATAATACCCTCATACAATGGACTTGCTGCCTGCTGCTTGCTAGCTTAAAGCCTTTATGCTTTTTTTAAATCTTAGAAAAAGAGAAACATGAGCCGCTGGAGTATGTTCAAAACCCCATCTAGGAAGGTAACTGTGAGCAACTGTCCATGTGACATAGGACTCAAAAGCTGAACTTTTTACACTGAGGCCATTTGTCCTGTGTCATTTGCATTAGACCAAAAGGGGGCATGGCCTTAGCCCTGCATACTGCCTCATGCCCCTTAGGGGGAGAGGCTTTTCTTTCCTAAAACTAGCTACCAAAACACAAAACAAACAAAAACACTTCCCCACCCCAGGGCTCTACGAAAAACATAACAGAAACTTGAGGCCAGAAATCTGAGTCACCTCCAAGCACTGGTCCTAGAGCTTTTCTTCTTCAAAGCAAATTAAGCAAAGACCTTTAATTTTATACCTGTTGCTTTTTCTATACTGGAGCGGAAAAAAAAAACTCTACCAGTACATCACTTAACAATAAATATAGAGTAGCTGAGAACACAACCATTTTTCTAACACTGGCAATAAAATCCATTATAATTTCCCAATTGAGAAGCATGGGTTTGTTTGCTTTAAATAAAAATTATTTAATCTTTTCAGATATTCCTGGCTAGCCAAATTTTTCAAAGAAAAACATCTTTCGGACTTTTTTTTTTTTTAGTAAAAATACATTAAAGATAACACAAAAAGCCTTCCAATAACCTGAAGCTGAAATGCAAAGAAGAATGTCTCTCAATCAGTTTTAAAACTCACACCATGAGTTTTTTTAAAAAATGTATTTTATTGATTATGCTATTACAGTTGTCCCATTTCCCCCCCTCATTCCCCTACACCCTGCACACCCTCTCCCACCCACATTCCCCCCTTTAGTTCATGTCCATGTGTCATAAGTTCTTTAGCTTCTACATTTCCCATACTATTCTTGCCCTCCCCCTATTTTCTACCTATTGTCTATGCTACTTATTCTCTGTACCTTTTCCCCCTCTCTCCTCCTCCCACTCCCCTGTTGATAACCCTCCACGTGATCTCCAATTGTATGGTTCTGTTGCTGTTCTACTTGCTTGCTTAGTTCACTTTTGCTTTTGTTTTAGGTGTGGTTGTTAATAACTGAGTTTGCTATCCTTTCGCTGTTCATGTTTTTTATTTTCTTTTTCTTAGATAAGTCCCTTTAACATTTCATATAATAAGGGCTTGGTGATGATGAACTCCTTTAACTTGACCTTATCTAGGAAGCACTTTATCTGCCCTTCCATTCTAAATGAAAGCTTTGCTGGATAAAGCAATCTTGGATGTAGGTCCTTTGCCTTTCAAGACTTGGAATACTTCTTTCTAACCCCTTCTTGCCTGTAAGGTTTCTTTTGAGAAATCAGCTGATTGTCTTATGGGCACTCCTTTGTAGGTAACTGTCTCCTTTTCTCTTGCTGCTTTTATGATTCTCTCCTTATGTTTCATCTTATATAAACTGATTATGAAGTGCCGTGGCGTGTGCTTCCTTGGTTTCAAATTCCTTGGGACTCTCTGAGCTTCCTGGATTTCCTGGAAGTCTCTCTCTTTTGCCAGATTGGGGAAGTTCCCCTTCATGATTTTTTCAAATAAGTTTTCAGTTTCTTGCTCTTCCTCTTCTCCTTCTGGCACCCCTATGAATCAGATGTTGGAATGTTTAAAGTTGTCCTGCAGGTTCCTAAGTCTCATTTTTTTGAATTCTTGTTTCTTCATTCTGTTCTGGTTGTTTATTTCTTCCTTCTGGTCCAAACCATTGATTTGAGTCCCAGTGTCTGTCCTATCACTGTTGGTTCCCTGTATATTTCTCTTCATTTAGTTCGTCATAGCCTTCACTTTTTCCTCTATTTTGCGACCATACTCAACCATTTCCATAAGCATCATGATTACCAGTATATGGAATTGTGCAACTGATAGGTTGGCTACCTCTACATCACTTAATTGTATTTTTACTGGAGCTTTGATCTGTTCTTCATTAAGGACATTTTTTTTCCTTCAGAGCACCTGTTCCTTTGCCCATTTTTTAATTGGATTACTTGCCTTCCTAGAGTGGAGTCCTGTAAGTTCTTTACATATTTTAGAGATCAAACCCTTGTCCAAGGTACCATTGGCAAATATAATTTCCCATATGGTTGGTTCTCTTTTCATTTTGCTAATGTTTTCTTTATCCATGAAGCTTTTTGTTTTGATGAAGTCCCATTTGCTTATTCTTTCCTTTATGTCCCTTGCTCTAGGAGACATATCAGTGAAGATACTGCTATGTGGAATATCTAAAATTTTCTTGCCTATGTTCTTCTCTAGGACTTTTATTGTGTCACAACTTGATATTTAAGTCAGTTATCCACCATGAATTTATTTTTGTGTATGGTGTACCTTGGCGGTCGGATTTCGCTTCACTGCATGTGGTTGTCCAGTTCTCCCAAGACCATTTGTTGAAGAGGCTATTTTTATTCCATTTTATGCTTCTTTCCCCTTCATTGAATATTAATTGACCATAGAGTCTTGGGTTTATCTCTCAGCTCTTTATTCTGTTCTACTATTCATGTGTCTTTTCTTATGCCACTACCAGGCTGTTTTGATTACAGTGGCCTTGTAATATAGTTTGATGTCAGATATGATGATCCCTCTGACTTTGTTCTTCTTTCTCAAAATTTCTACAGGTATTTGCGGTCATTTATAGTTCTATATAAATTTCTGAAATGTTTGTCTGTATTTGTGAAATATGTCACTGGTACTTTAATAGGCATGTATTGAATCCACAAATTGCTTAAGGCAGAATAGACATTTTGGTAATATATTACAATTCTTACAATCCATGAACATGGTATATGCTTCCATTTGTCTATGTCTTCCTTCATTTCTTTCTTCAATGTTATGTAGTTTTCTGAGTACAGGTCTTTTACCTCCTTGGTTAGGTTTCTTCCCAGATACTTTATTTTTCTTGTTGCTATAGCAAATGGGATTTTTTCCCCTGACTTCTGTTTCTGATATTTCATTGTAGGTGTACAAAAATGCCTCTGATTTCTGAATATTGACTTTGTATCCCGTTATTTTGACAAAATTATTTATTTAGGTCAAGTAGTTTTTTTGGTGGAGTCAAGGGTTTTCTATGTACACTATCATGTCATCTGCAAACAATGACACTTTTGCTTCCTCCTTTTGATTTGGATGCCTTTTATTTCTTGTCCTTGTCTGATCACCATGGCTATAATTTCCAATGCTATGTTGAATAGCAGTGGTGAAAGCATACACCCTTGTCTTGTTCCTGATCTTAGTGGGCAAG